AGTTGATGTTATCTGGTTTATTCTTTGTATTACAAAAGTTATTACTGTTTCTAAATTGTATTGTATTTCTAAAATTGTTAGATTGTAAAATTTGAGGGGCATTATTGTCCTACTCATGGCATGTCTCCCCTATATTCAAGACTCCTTGTTCACTTTGGTTAAGATGGAAGGGAAAGGAGAAATCAAGCTGATGGTTCTGAAGAGTCATGGTTGAATGCCAGTTTGAGACCACCCTGATGGTTATTAAGATTTAGGAGGTGGTGTGAGGGGTCTGCAGATAGTATGAAAGAAGAGGAGGGATTGAATGGGATGTCCCAGTGAAGGCTCCTCAGTGTAATTAAGGTTTGGGATAAGGCGTGGTGGGATGAGGGGTCCTGTGAAGACTTCTTAGAAGAATAAATACAAATTGTATTGTGACTCAAGGCAGGCACAGAAGCCCAATAGGCCTAAGGTTTTTGGGGTTTTTTACTTTTTTAAAAATTTTATTAATTTATTTTGATCTATCAACAATCAGTTCTATATGCTTTTGAGTTTAGAACTTTTCTGCCCCTTCCTCCCCACCACCCTCCCCAAGATGGCACAGAATATAATATACGCTAGACATTAACATTCCTATTAAACATATTTTCACATTAGTGAAGTTGTAAGTATAAATTTTCACTACTGTTTCGCTTTTGACCACTGCCTCCCTCAGTCCCACCCACCCTTTCCCTCTTCTTCCCCTTTAGCCTTACTGCTTCTTCCCTCCCATCTATTCCCACCTCCCTTTTCTTTCCCCTTTTCCCTCCTACTGCCTATAGGGCAAGTTAGATTTCCATACCTGATTATGTTATTTCCCTCCTTGAGCCAAATCTGATGAGAGTAAGGTTCAAACAATGCTCAAACCCCCTGCCTTCTTTCCCTCCGCTGTAATAGGATTTTCTATCTTTTCCTGCAATGTCATTTACCCTTGTCTTCCTCCTCCTTTCTCAGTACATTTTCTAAAGATCAGACTAATCCACTTACTTGGATCCATTTAATCTACTTGATTAGATTTTTTTTTGTCATTACATCAAAGTCAACTAATATCCACCACCTTTATATATACTCCTTTAACATGGTGTAATAACCATACAGTTCTCAAGAGATGCAAGTGTCATCTTCCCTTGCAGGGATGTAAACAGTCCACCCTTATGAACAACATATTGTATCTTTCTGTCCCATTTACCTTTTCACGTCTTTCTTGAATCTTGTACTTGAAGATCAAATTTTTTTGTTGAGCTCTGGTCTTTTTATCAGGAAGGCTTGGAAGTCCCCTACTTTGTTGAATATCCATTTCGTTCCTTGAAAAATCATACTCATTTTTGCAGGGTAGTTGATCCTTGGCTGTAATCCAAGCTCCTTTGCCTTATGGAATATCCTGCGGTCTTTTAATGTAGAAGCTGCAAGGTCCTGTGTAATCCTGACTGTGGTTCCATGATATTTAAACTGTTTCTTTCTGGCTGCTTACAACACCTTCTCTTTCATCTGATAATTTTGGAATTTTGCTATTATATTCCTTGGCATTGTCAATTTGGGATCTCTTTGAGGTGGTGACCAGTGTATTCTTTCTATGGTTATTTTATCTTCTGGTTCTAGGACTTCAGGGCAATTTTCCTTTATGATTTCCTGAAAGATACTGTCCCGACTCTTTTTTTCATCATGATTTTCAGGTAGTCCAATAATTTTTAAATTGTCTCTCCTGGATCGATTTTCCAGGTCAGCTGTTTTACAGATGAGGTATTTTACTTTTTCATCTATTTTTTTCATTTTTTTGTTTCTGTTTGACTCAGTCTTGCTCTCTCATAGAGACATTAGTTTCCATTTGTCCAATTCTAGTTTTTAAAACATTGTTTTCTTCTTTTAGTTTTTGTACTTCCTTCTCCAATTGGCCAATTGTATTTTTAAGGGATTTGTTTTCTTCAGTGTAATTTTTTCCAGTTTACCAATTGTGCTTTTTAGCAACTTGTTTTCTTAAGTGTATTTTTTTTCCAATTAGCCAACTGTATTTTTTAAGAACTCTTTTACCTCTCTCATTAGACTTTTAAAATCCTTATTGAGTTCTTCTAAGAAGGCTTTTTGGGCTTCAGACCAGTTCATATTCCCTTTTAATGTTGCAGATTTGGGTTTCTTGATAATGTTGTCCTTTTCCGAATTTCTGTCTTGATCTTCACTCTTCTCATAAGATGAATCTATGGTATGTTTCTTTCTACTTATGGTGTTTCTCTATTCCCTGGCCTTTAGAGAGATTGAGCTCTTCTGCTGGGGGCACAGAGGGCACTGACCCAAGCTTCTTGTGTTGGGAGCCTAGGTCTTAGTCACTGGCTTTGTGTGCTGGGGCCTCTTATGTTGGCAAGTGGAGGCTGTAGAGCTCTGGCAGCTTACCTCCATGTTGGGCTACAATCAGCAAGGCTGGAACTTTCAGGCAATTTTAGGTTGCCTGCTTTTCCTTTCCTTTAGCTTTCTTCAGCTCCTTTTAGATGGCTGCTGCAGGATGTTTATCTGCCTGGGGCCCCCTGCAGTGTTGTCTCCCTCCATTCTGCTAATGCACCGGGAGATTCCTTTGGTAGATGCCGAGGCACCTGGTGGTTTTCTGAGCTGGTTTCCCGGTTCCCCCACCCTCACTGAGGCACTCAGAGGTCCAGGTGTTGGTGTTTGCCTGCTCTACCACCTGGGCTTCAGGATTCTTCACATTGGAGGTTCAGGCTCTACAGCACCTGGTGTTGGGTTGGAATCAGCAAGGCTGGGCTTTAGGAAGCTTTAGGTTTTTCTTCAGCTCCTTTCAGATGAATGCTGCAGGGTACTTGTCCCCCTGGGGCCCCTTGTAATTCTGCCTCCCTTATTTTTGCTGAGGCACTGGGAGACCCATTTGCTGGGCTGCTGCACTGCTGTTCCCAGTCTTCTAGTTCAGCTGTTCTAGGGTTTTTTTTTTCTGGGGTGATATTTTCTGGGTTTTCAAAGGTTAATAGGGGAGGGTGAGAGTGACTACCTTTTTACTCTGCCATCCTGGCTCCCAGAAGCTGAAATCCCCTAAGTTTCGATTTAGTGGAAATCACCTGATTTACAGGAATCCAACCACAAGTACCCCCCCCCATGCCATTGTTCAGTGGTTAAAGTTTGCGAAGCCTGAAACCCTTGAAGCCCCCCTGCATTCTGTTGTACCTGTTGCTATATTTCAGTCATGGTGATACAGCACAGCATCTACCTTGACTGCACATTTTTAACTGTTTCTTTGGCAACACTTCAGTAAACTAAGGAGCTAAATACAGATATGTATATAGTTTCTTTTGTTTCTATAGAGTGTGAGCCAAACATTGGCCAGTTGGTGGGAGGAAGGCTTTACCCATTAGGGCTATTTAATCTGGTTCTTCTGCTTCTGTAATCTGTCTCCTCCCATCAGAACATCCTGGTGGAGGGTCACCCTATTCTCAAGAATAGCAAATAAATTAACTTTCTGTTTCTCCTTGAAAAACCTCTAAGTGTTTTCTAATTTGAGTCGCATCACACACAGTGTTTAGCACAGTGCCTAGCACTTACTAGGCACTATTGCTGATTCCTTTCCTCCCTCTTTCAACCATGACACCAGGTTTCTTCTCACCCTTGGCATACCTATTCAAGAAACAAGGTTTGATATGATATGAGTCATATTACAGTCAAAGCCCTAACATGAATTTATGTCTTAGGGAGGCAAAATGATAATCAAAGATTTCATTTCAAAACCTCATTTCCAAATCTCTAGTTACTTTTTTAGTGTTATCTGAATAGAAATAGCTCCAAGATTTGGGCTTTCTACTGCTCTGACAAAGTATGAGTTATCAGTCTAAAACAAATGTGGAGTCCTGAGTGCAGCCCTGACTCATCATTGAAATGATTATTTCCAAATAGTTTTAAAAGGAAGGACACACAAGGAATGGCTGCCAATTGCAAATACTTTTTGTCTCTCATTTTGATCCAGTTAACCTCACAAAGGACTAATAAAACCTAAACCAATGGTACATTAATATTAGGACTTAAGTAGCTTTTCTCCCAACTCAGGAGCCATACAAGATAACGTTACTGGGACAAATGGGATGCTCCATACTCTCTCAATAATATGGTTTGCTCAAAAACCCTTCAGGAGAAATGAGGATTAGTGCTAACCTACAAATAACTGTGTTTGAAACAGTTTCTAAATGAGGCCCTGACACAGGTCACCATAACACAAAGTTCTCGGTCAACTTAAAGCAAAGATACCTAGCCCACTCAAGCATTCTCTCCAGTGGACAAAAATGCCACTGCCTTCTGTACATGTATGCGTATGTGTATATACGCACACATATGTACATATGTATAACTTTCCTATTTCTGTTAAAGTAGTTGGGTGGTGAAACTACTTCAGTTATTCTAAGGTTTCTTTCAGCGGCCAAAAAACTCCCACCAAACACAAAACAAAAATTGGAGTGGAGAGAGTGTCGAGACACCGACTTCCCCTTTAGTCAATTTAAAAGCCCCCCAGAGAGCTGGCCTCGCCATTTTAGGGTCACCCCTTTACAGCTGACCCGGCTCCATTATCCCTCGCATTCTTCAGGCTGACATCTGCTACAGCCCTTTCATTTCTATCTTCGACTCCAGCCACCTTTCATTTCTATCTTCGACTCCAGCCAGCAGCGTGGCGCCCGGCACACAGCAGGTACTCAATAAACGCTTGATTCCTTTTAATGACTCGGATTCCGTTTCCACAAATCAACAGCATAATTGTGAGCACTATGAAAGCACTAATAGAAGGAGTTTCCCGGAGCGTGGACCGCCAGAAAGGCTCGTCAATCGCTGACCAATTCCCAGCGGGAAGGGAGCCAGGCTCAGGACCCCCCCGGGGAGAGGAGCCGTCTGGAGGGGAGGAGCAGCAGTCTGAGCTCCGAAGCCCCCTCGCACCCTCGGCCCCTCCCCGCTGTGTCTCCCTCCCCCACCCCACCTGCGGCCCCGGCCCCGGCGCCCCTCCTCACCCAAGTTCAGCGGCAGGGCGAGCAGAGCTCGGGGGAGTAGCGCCAACGCCCCGAGGAGCCCCACGGAGCAGAGCCAGGCCCCGCGGCGGGGACACGCCCCCATGGCTGAGGCGCGAGGCTCTAGGTGGACTCGGGATCCTCCTCGGACCGCGAGGCAGGAGCGTCCCCAGCGGCTGCTCTCCTCTGCTGACTGACGCCGAGGTGACTCTATCAGCATTTAACAGGCAGCGTCAGGTCCTGGCTCTGGGTGGGACCCGCTGCTGGAGAAGTCCGCGATTAGTCCGGGGCGGGTCCTCCCGGGGGTGGGGCGAGGGAGGGGAGCTCTTCCTGTTGGAGACGGCCCCGCCCTGGCATTGACCGTAAACGACGCTCCGCCCTCTGGGAACGGTGGGGGGAGGGGAAGGGAACCGGAAGCTGCAGGAGGTCCGGGGAAAGCCACTTCCGCTGGTCTCGGAAAGTTGCCGCAGTACTTCGTAGGTACGGAAGCTCTCCCGCACCGCTACCTGCTCCCTGTCTGATACGGGATGGGAGCCTGCGCTGCTTGGTGGCCCCTGCAGTGGCCAAGGCTGGGCCCTCTGGGCGCCCCTGTAGCCAGGAGGCCGCCCAGGAGCAGGCCCCGAGGGCACCTCGAGCTTTCTTCTTGTTTCTGAAAACCTCAACAATAGTTTTCGCTCTCCGCCCTCCCTCTTTTCTTGTCTCTTGTGCACTCCTCCCCCAGGGAAAACTGTCCCCAAGCCAGGGAGAGTTTCTGGGCCGGAGAAGGGTCACCGCGGGGGTTCCCTGCCCAAAGTGGAAAAAACAAAACAAAACAGGAAAATGAGTCAGAATTTCCAAGGGCCTGACCAACTGCACAGCTGTGTCTGCCTCTCAGGAAAACATGAGGAGCACCTGTGGCCTGTATCCCTTGGGTGGATGTTAAGAGAATTACACTTGACATTTAATTATAGTCATCAGCCAATAAGCGTTTATTAAGCACCTACTATGTGCCAGGCACTGTGCTAAGCCTGGCGATGGAAAAAAAAATTCTCTCATGGAGCTCACAATTTAATGGAGAAGACAAATGTGTGCAAACAAGGATAACTAGAGAATAATTAATGGAGGGAAGACACTAAAAATAATAAGAGTTGGGAAAAGTTACCTGTAGAAGATGGGACTTAATTGGGACTTGAAGGAAGCCAAGAGGCAGAGATGAGGAGGGGAAGCCAGAAAAAAAAATACTTGGAGCACCCAGGTGGAGTGTTTTTGGTTTGGGGAACAGCAAGAAGGATGGCTTGATGGAGAGTGTGTGACCAGGTGTTAGGTGTAGGAAGATTGGAAAGGGGTGGGGTAGGGGGAGGAGGAATTGGGAGAAAAAGGAATTTGTTAGAGGATTCAGTACTTGATTCTGAGGTAACTGCCCCTGGAGTTTAGTGTGTAGGAGGTAGTATGGTAGCCTGGAGGTACTGGAGGGTGGATTGGAGTGGACAAAGTTCTGAGGCAAGTGGACCCACCAGCAAGCTATTGCAGTGTCCAAGCATGAGCTGATGACAGCCTGCAACAGAGTGGTAGTTGTGTCAGAGAAGGGGGCATAATTGAGACATGTTACAAAGATGAAATGGCTAGATGAATAGATCTGAAAGATATCTGCACAGAAATGATAATTGAATCCATGGGAGCTGATGACATCACCTAGTGAACCATGTAGAGTTTAACTGGTTCACCAAGGGGTAAAGACAGGGAAAAGAGTAGAGAGTGGCTAGTGCAGGGGTGATAGCCTGGGAGAGAACTGAGGGGTTGAGGGATTTGAGGTCACAATGTGGAGGAAGAGTAAGGTGTGGTAAAGAAAGGCGGGAGAGAGGTGAATAGCTAATAGGTTATGGTCAAATAAGAGGATTTGGGAATTAACCAATTATTGATTGGAATTATTCAAAATCACCATTCTTATGGAGGTGGTGCATTTGTGGCAAAATCAAGTGTATTACTGTCTTTTTGTATGTCTGAGGTGGAGGAGCAGGTCATGGGAAGTGAGTAGGTTGAGGAACTGAATGACTAGGGTATACTACATGATTGTCTCCTTTGATTCTCACAACTACCATGTGAGGTAGGTACTACAGGTGTTTTTATCCTCATTTCAGTGTAACATACTGCCTCTCCTTAATTGTTTTCTATTGACATAGCTTTGTCCTCTGCATGTTATCTCATTTGTTCCTGCTATACAGGTATGGCAGGTACTCTAACTTCTGTTTTACAGGTGAAGAAGAGAGGCAATAGAGGGTTGGAGGCTGATGCTACTAGAAGTGTGACCATGGGTAAGTTAATTAGACTTTCAGTGTCTCTGTCTGCTCTTTGTGACATTTGCAGGTAATTAACTGATTCTCTTTTGTATATATTTTGCATTAATTTATCTGGTTGATTGTGTCAGGTCACAAAGAGGGGATTGTTTCCCCTCAGTAGTCAGTCAGCAAACATCTGTTAAGTTCTTACTATGTACCACAGGCACCTAAGTAGAAATTTAAAAAAAAAAGTTAAGCCTGCTCTCATGGAACATGCATTCTAAAAGAGGAGACAACATGTGAACCATTAGGTCCGTACAAGATATATTATAAAGTAATCTGAGAGGGGAATATGGGTTTGGAGGGAGAAAGACCACCAGGAAAGTTCTCCTGCAGAAGGTAGGCTTTGGGCTGTCTTGAAGGAAGCCAAGGGAACTAAGAAGCTGAGGTGAGGACACAGAGCATTTGAGGCCTAGGGGACAGACAGCACAAAGACATCAAGTTGGAAGATGAGTACTGTATTCAGGGAATTGACAGGCCGGTGTAATGAGATCATAGAATGCCTGGAGGACAGCAAGATATAAAAAGACTGGAAAGGTAGGATTATGAAGAGCTTTGAATGCCAGAAAACTTTATATTTGATCCTGGTGGTAATAAGATCATAGGATCTTACTGAGTAGGGCATATAACATGGTCAGACATTTGATTTAGAATAATGACCTTGGCAACTGTGTGCAAGGGAGAGAGAGACTTAAGGCAAGGGTAGCCTTTCAAGTGTAAGCTCTTTGTGAGCAGGGACTGTTCCATTTTTATCTTTGTATTGCCAGGGCTCTAGAATGCCACTTTCTCTCCAAAGACACAAAGATGAGCATCACACAGAGGGCAATGGAATAGTGGATATAGGCAAGTTATAACATATAACCAGCAAGGAATTTTAAAAAACAGGAGCAAAGGATGTCATCAAAGAAATATATGACAGAAAGAAAAGATGGGCTGGTTATATGGGGAGAGCAAGGGATGCCAGGTATACATCCAGATAACTCCATTAATAAACTGAGAATGTCACAAATATCGAAGAGGGCCTCTGGCACATTGGGTGGGCTCCCTATGTTGAACCTGTTGGGTGATGTGAACTAGAATCTCACAGGATGGAAAGGTGTGGGTAAGTTTCAATCTGTATTATTGGAGTCAACTCAAAATAATTGAGATCACAGGTACATTTGAGTGTCCCTAAGACCCAGCACATAGTAGGTCCTTAATAAATGATTATTGAATTAATCTCCATCAGCAGAGTGAGTTTCCACATTAGGAGTTCCTGACAATGTTGAAATCACACATTCCCACCAATAACTAAGAAAACTTTGAAAGCAATTTTTGCAAAACAGTCTCAGCAAGGTTAAGAAGTGGTTGAAGGTTTGTTTGTTTTTTTTTAATACTGGTAAAGGACAATGGTAGGCTCAAGGCCAGGCTTTGACAAGTGCCCAGCCTCCAAAGGAGATGGATGTGAGTGGTACCGTTGGATTCAGAAGACCCAAATTCAAATCCCGCTTCCGGCAATACCTCTGTGACCTCTTGTTACAGTCATGTCATGTCCTGTCATCCCTCTGGATCATCTGTGAAGACCTGATAAAAGACTTTTGAATTTAATCATTAGAGCTTTAGGAGCATGCAATTTCATTAGAATGACAGTCAGAAGCTCAATTTCGAGAAATTAAGAGAAGTGTGAGGAAAGGAAGTGAAGTCAAAGTGTAGATGGCTATTTCTAGGAACTTAGCAGTGAGATGGAAAGATGAAGGACAATAACTTAATGAGGTGGCATGGTTAAATGATTTTTTAAGGGTAGGGAAGACCTGAACATGTTGTATATGGATGGATGTGATCAGTAGCCCTAGTGGAGAGTTAACTTGGCAAGAAGGACCAGCCATTGTTGACCTAAAGCATTTGACCAGTTTTGAACAGTTTATGTGCAAGGGGCTAAGGGATTGAAGGGTAAAGGGTAGTGAGTATTTAAACTTGATTACAGGACTAAAAATGTGAAAGGAGGAAAGTGAGGCCAGAGCAAAGGTGATGGACTCAGACAAGAGGGAGGGATGGAAGGACTGGAGATTATAGTGATGGTCAGGAAAAAGGTTTAGAAGTAATGAGGCACAGGGAGGATGGAAGAACAAAAGATTTTGATTAGAGACAGGAATTTCATAGTTCAGCATCATCAGGGTTCTTCATTATTCTGTGATGGTGAGGCTTAAGGTACTACCACTTCTGTGAGGAGAATGGAGATGGAGGTCATGGGAGTTGAGATTCATGAACCTCAGTTCAGTACCAGAGGATTTAAAGGGACATCAACATGACTATTGAAGTTTCCAAGTTTGAAGACAGTGTTGGAATAGAGAAGGAAGATTATGAGTCTGGTAATGAAGCCCTTGAGAAAAATTGAAAGTAAAGTAGAGCCAGGTAGATGGCAACAAGAAGAATTTGGACTGGTTGATATAGACTGATAAAATAAACCTCAAAGGAGAGAAGGTTCTTGAGTGAACAGCCTCAGAGGGAGGGTCTAGAAGTGGCCTTGGAAAACAAGAAATATGCTGATTTTTCCTGGCTCAGTGTGTTGGGGAGGAAGGAGAAATGTGAGAGAAGGAGCAGGCCACACTGGAAAGAAATGTCTGTGACTGTCAGGGCAAGTGACACTGAAACACTTCAGAGCTCTGACAGAGGCCTTGACCAGCCATGATTCCAGGGGGCAAATGTATTACTTACCTCCTGACAGAGAGGTGCTGGACAAGACATATTTTTAGACTTGGCCAGTATGGGAGATTGTCTTTGCCTGACTATGTATGTTTGTTAAAAGGGGCTTTTTTTTTCATGTTTTCCCTCCTCTCTTCCTGGGAGATTAGATGAGGTAGAAGTAAAGAGAGAGAAAGTGAGAGAACATAAAAGAAAGTGGAAGAAGTGAGAGTTAGTGCTTGTTAATTGAAATAAGATCAAAGTTAATTTGCAAACATCCTGTCAGATTAAAAAAAAAAAGGATGAGAGAGATCTAGGATTAAAGTTTGTTAATGATAGAGTGAGGGATGCAGAGGGCCCAGTGGAAGCAGAGGTTAGAGAAAGGAGGACTGAGGCTTAGTTGGATAGTGGTTATCAAATATTAGTTAGAGATAACTATTTATCTAAGGCAGAATGTGATGATGGCAAGGGAAGAATCTAAAACTATTCTTAAGAGATTTTAGGACAGCTTATTTTCATGTGGGGAAAATCAGGGATGGTTGCCTGGATAGAGTCAAACCTGAGAGGGGCCTTAAAGGATAAGAAGTCAAACAGGAGAGATGTGGAGGGAGTGTGTTCCAGGCACAGGGAATGATCCACCCAAATGCAAGGAGGGCTGTACAGAGTATTATCAGAAAACAGTAGTGTGGGTCATAGGGAGTGTGAATAAAGGGGTGTGGAGTGGAAAAGAATAAGGTGTGTTTGAGATACAGTAAAAAACAACCTGCCTTGAACAGAAGATTTGAGGTGTGGAAAATAAGTTTGAAATAAGATAATTGAGGGCTTTATATTCCAGACGTCAGGTGTTCAGACTTAGACAAGGGACCTATGTAAATAGAGGAGTGACAGAAATAGAACATTACATGAGGAAAGCAGTACTTTGAAAAATTCTTTTGGAATGCTTAACTTGAATGTATAAGTAGAGGCTATATCAGATTGCATGCCGTCGAGGGGAGAGGGGGAGGGAGAGGAAAGGGGAGAAAATTTAAAACTCAAAATCTTATGGAAATGAATGTTGAAAACTGAAAATAAATAAATTATTTAAAAAATAAAAGAAAGAAAAATTCATTTGGAAGATGTAAGTAATGTGCCAAGGAAAGCCAAATGGTTCTGGAGTCAAGAAGACCTGAGTTCAAATTTGGCCTCAGACACTTAGTAGGTTGGTAATCCTGAGAAAGTTACTTAACCTCTCCTCAATCCAGTGGAAAAGCAAATAAACCACTCCAGTGTTTTTGCCAAGAAAACCTATTGACACGATTGGTATGATATGGTCCACAGGGTCATGAAGATTCATAAATGACTGAACAACTGAACAGCAACAAGGAATGTACAGAGTCTATTGGGAGTTGGAAGAAGCCTGGACACAGGAAGATTAATCGGGAAGCTCCATAGTGATGAGTGAAAACCAAGTCTGGGTGGTGGTAGACTGAAAAATGTTCATTTTTGGAAAGGAGTTTTAGGACATAAAGCCCAACCTACACTTGAACAAGAGTCCTTTCTACAATATAGTTGAAAATTAGTCATCAGAAATGGACAGAGGATGGAAAGAGAGGAACAGTGAGCAGGCCAGTGTCACTCAGTTGTGGAGTACAGGAAAGGGGAGTCAAAGCAGAAGAAGGAAGGGGCCATGTTGTGGAGAGTATTAAAGGCCAAACAAGAATTGTCTATTTGACGATAGACAGTAAGTGAAAGGGAAGGGATGATATGGCCATACCTATGTTAGGAAGATCATGTTGGTAGCAGAGTGAAGATGGGCTGGAGTAGGGAGAGACTTGAGGCAGGGAGACCCACCAGAAAGGTATCTCAGTAGTCTAGTGATGTGATAAGGGTCTGCACCTGGGAGGTGGGAAGGGGAAGAACCCTCAGGTGTTATGAAGGTAGAATTGGCAGGACTTGGCAGCAGATTGGTTATGGGGTGAGGAGTCAAGGATGACACCTAGGGTATGAGCATGGAGGCTGAAGGGCATAGTAAATAGAGAGCCAGCCTCAGAGTCAGGACAAGCTAGGTTCAAGTCCCACTTCTGACTCAGGCTGTGTGACTCTAGACCAGATCTAGCAACCTCTCAGTGCCTCCAGGCAACTCTAACATTGTAAGGTGCAGAGTAGGTGCTGATCCAAAGGGAGTGTCTTATACCAGTGAAATTCAAAGGTCCAATTCAAAAAGAAAAATCCTCCCATACCTAGCATGGGGCTTTGTGCCAGTGATAAGCATTTAATTAATGGCTGCTGAATGACAGAGTATCAGAGATTGTAGTTCTTTGGTACTTAGGACTCAAGAATGATCTGACTTCTGCACATTATTTTGTAAATTAAGAACAGAATGCATATATTTGTTGTAAAACAGCAAGTGTGTATGTGTGTGTGTGTGTGTTGTGTGTGTGTGTGTGTGTACACTGCATGTAGGCAGCAATCCGTGGTAGGCTGGCCAGCACAATTCAATGACTGAAATATATTTAGCATACTTCTTTTTCTCTGAAAATTTTTAATGCATATCATTAAACCTTCTTGCTATGTTAACTGCATTATCATATGATATGTGATTCAATCTTTTAACACATTTTATAAAACGTGAAATTTTGTAAAGTTTTGGTACTTTTATGGCTCTTTGTAATGCCTTCTTTAGCTGGTGGGTCAATCTGGCACTGAACCTTATAAAATATGACTAGGTGGGTGTGGGTGTGGGTGTATGGTATTTGCTTTGAAACCTTACATGAATAGGTTGATGACAACTTTATTAAATGAAAAGGGCGCTCACATGGAGGGCTGCATTCCAATGATTTATAACAAGACTGAGAATCCCAGATAAACGAAAACATTCAGAAGAAAAACTGAAAGATGTTGGAAGATAAATATGGCTCTAAAGGCTGTCCAAAAGTAAGCATTAATGATAAGGATATGGTATTCCTGCCTGAAATGTGTCCTTTCCTTACCACTGTCTCTGGATTCCCTAGTTTCCTTCACAATTCAACTCAAGCACCTTTACTGATCCCCCTTGCTGTTAATGTGTACCCACAAAAAAGGCTTGGTGTCTGTTTTGTATATATGCTTGTCTGCTGTGGTAGACTCCCCATGAACAGACTGGGTCCTTCCTTTACAATAATAATAATAATAACAAACATTTATATGTAACTTGGTATGTGCCAGGTACTGTGTCAAATGCTTTACATTTAATACCTCATTTGATCGCCACAACAACCCCAAAAGATAGGTACTATGATTGTCTCAATTCTACAGTTGAGGAAACTGAAGCACACAGAAGTTAAGTGACTTGCCCAAGGTCATACAAGTAGTAAGCATCTGAGGCTGGATTTGTATGAAGTTCTTCCTGACTGTAGGCCCAGGCACCTTTCACAAAGCAATGGTATTTTCTTCTTGTTACACTTTATTGTTCTACTGAGTATACAGTAAATGCCAGAGAAGCATGCCAGGGAAAGGCAGTTCTGAAGAGGCTTTTATATGTCACAGAATATATGAGCTATGATTCCACTCCTGTCTTGGTGACCAAGACTACCTGAGGGCCTGTTTTATGAGCTATTTATCCTGTATGTTTCATAGCTAAATTCCCAAGCTTGGAGGTGAAACAACACATCGATTTTTCTTTCTGCTCTTTAGCCACAAAGCTGCCTTTAATTTATATTATTTGAAATCACCCAGTGTAACTGGGAGAGAAAGAAGCAGGCCAGCTACTGTGGCTGTGTTTCTCATCCCTCCTCAGAGTCCCACCCTGCATGGTCCAGGAGCTATGTTGAAGGCACAAGCAATGACCTGCCCAGATGCAAAGAGGGAAGTGCAGAGTAAGACCAGGAAACAGCAGTAATCTGATTGGTTGAGAGGGAATATGAAAGAAGGGACATAGATTGGAAATTCATTAGTGGAGTTTGAGAAGGAGCCTGACTTGAACAGAAGATTTGAAGCATAAAAGGGTGAAAAATAAGGTTGGAATCGGATTACTGAGGACTATATGTTCCAGACAAAGGTGTTTAAACTCTGGAGAAAGGTCTCTTGGAGCTTCTGGAATGACATGAAACATAAAGCAGTGTTTTTGAAAAATTCATCTGGGAGTAAACAAGCAACATAGAAGGTATATTGGAGTGGGAAGGAGTCTGGCCACAGAAGACAAATGAGGGGGTTGGTATGGTGGTGAATTAGTGTGAATTAGTAATGAACCTCTTTTGGGTGGGAGTGGTAAGAAGACTAAAAGTCAGAGCTGGAAGGGAGCCTGGAGAACATCTAGCCCAAGCTGTACCTGAAAGAGAATCCCCTTTTCCTTGTTATTGTTGTTGGTCCTTCATTTTTGAAGAGGACCAATGATTTGACTGCAAACTGGATTTAAGTGAGGCAGAGCTGTACAAAGTCCTCAGCCTCACTCTCCCTTCCAGAGTCATCAAAGTCCAGTGAAAAGACAAAAATCAGCACCACTGGCAATGGCCTGGGATGTAGTAGATGATCTTGGCATCTTTGATATCTGACCAAGCTCCAAGTGCTATGCAGTACCTGCTTCAGCCGCCTTCATGGCCATTGGAACAAATTGTCTTCATCCACCCATTCTGCTGGGGGAAGACTTGACATGCTTGGAGTAGATATCCCCCTAACTCACTGACAGGTTTGAGGCCCATTGCTTACCCTCAGCCTGGTTTAGCCTGTCTGCTGAGATGGTTTTACTGGGGTGTGGCTGCCACAAGTGAGAGTTGGGTAAAGGGAGACACCAAAGGTGGATGAGCAGCTCTGAAAAGGGCTCAACAAAGGGGCAGCTAGGTGGCATAGTGGATAAAGCTCTGGCCTTGGAGTCAGGAGGACCTGAGTTAAAATCCGGCCTCAGACACATGACCCTTACTGGCTGTGTGACCCCGAGCAAGTCACTTAACCCAAATTGCCTCACAAAAAATAAAAAAAGGGCTTGACCAGTCCTCATACCAAAGGTGCTAGACTTTCCTGAACACTCCATACACCCCCCTCCCCTTTACTATATACCTGGACAAAGGGTCATCAGAAACGGACAGAAGGAGGGGCTAGTCTGAAGCTCTTTTTGCAGATCCCTAAACCTGTAACTTAGGTGGTGGTTGGCCCTGTGGTCTATTCTGACAGAGGTAACTGATGGATAGGGCTTCTATGAGTCATCAGCTGAAAGGGGCAAGCACCACAAGAAAGAATTACCTCAATTTTGTTTCTGTTTTCTCTGCTAAGGAGAATTGAATTATCTTCACGTCAGGAAATGTAACATAAAAATGATGAACTAGAAACCAAACATAGAGGAGGAAGCGATAGGAAAACATCCAGTCTCTATAAGTTCCCTAAGTTTACAGCACACAGCCCTGACAAATTCTATATGCCAGATTATTCAAAGACCTTGTAGATGTGATTGCTGACCTTTGAAAAGTTGTGGAAAGTGAGACCGGGGCCACAGGAATGGAGATGAGCAAGTGTTACACTAATTTTTAAAAACACTGTGATGTGATGGAAAGAGAGTAGGACTTGGGGTCAGGGCACCTAAGTTCAGATTTTGTTTCTGAAAGCACAAACCTTGTGATCATGAACAAATCATTTACCTCTTCGAGCCTCAGTTTCCTTAATTGTGAAATGTGGATGATATACTTTGTATTTATTGTGAAGAAAGCACTTTGTAAACCTCAAAGAACTATTCTTATTAATTATAATTATAAGCTAGTGAGTTTGACTTTCTCATTTGTCAAATTCTAGAGGACATTATTAAAGAGGCAATTTATGAGTACTTTGGAAAAGGAAACAATGATCACTATAGTCAGCATGGCTTTACGAACATTTCATGCTGTAGTAACCTCCTTTTCTTCAGTAGTTTCTTGGTCTCCTTTAGCAAGCTGTTGACTTGTTTTTCGTGATTTTCTTGCATCACTCTCATTTCTCTTCCCAGTTTTTCCTCTACTTCTCTTACTTGCTTCTCAAAATCCCTTCTGAGCTCTTTCAAGGTCTGGAATGGATTCATATTTTTCTTGGAGGCTTTGGATGTAGGAGCTTTGAATTTCTTGTCTTCTTCTGGTTGTATGTTTTGATCTTCTTTGTTACTAAAGAAAGATTCTATGGTCTGACTTTTTTTTGCACAGTTTGCTCATGATCCCAGCTAACTACTTGAGTTATACATTCTTTGTTAAGGTAGGGGTCTGCTTCCAGTGTGGAGAATGTACTGTTCCAAGCTTCAGGGGTTTTGTGCAGCTGTTTTCAGAGATACTTGTAGGGACCTGTAAATTTTCAGTTCTTCCAAGGTGGTATGATAAGGGACGAGGTGTTTACTCCTTTCCTGGCCTGTTCTCTGGTCTGTGAGTGACCACAAGCACTCTTTTCTGCCTTGGAACTATGAGGAAGATGCCTTCTGTACTGCCACTACAAGCTCTACCACGCCAGCACTCTTCCTCACCCCAGGATTGCCACCCAGAACTATGATCCAGATCCAAGTGTGGGCAAAGCAAGAGAATCCTGCCTCAGTACCAGGAAAGAGATCCCTGCAATCCTCCTCTGATCAGCCACTTGATTCCCCCTCAGTCTGTGGGCCAGAAGCTCAGGAAGCAGCCACCGCCCTGGGGCTGCACCAGGGACTGGGGCTGGGACCAAGCTTCTCTCTTTCAACGCAGTCATAGACTTTTCCCACTGACCTTCCAAGTTGTCTTTGGCATTCATGGGTTGAGAAGTCTGGAAACCACCACAGATGCCTGTGATTCAGTCCTCTGAAGCCTGCTCCAGCTTGGCTGAGGCCTGTTTTGCCTGCGTGCCCAAGCTGAACTGTGTTCCTCTCCCTGCCCAGTGTGATATACCTTTCTAATCAACTATCCAGGTTGTCTTGGGCTGGAAATTTGTTTCACTCTGTCTTTTTGTGGGTTCTCTTGCTTTGGAATTTGTTTAGAGCCATTTTTTACAGGTATTTTGAGGGGTTTGGGGGAGAGCTCAAGCAAGGCACTGCTTTTACTCCACCATCTTGGCTCTACCCCCCTGCTCATCATTTCTTATAGCACAATAGTTCCATTATATTCATACAGCACAACTTGTTCAGCCATTCCCCAATTGATGGGCATTCCCTCAATTTCGAATTCTTTGCCACCACAGAAAGAGCTGCTATAAATATTTTTGAATATGTGGGTCCTTTTCCCTTTTTTATGATCTCTTTGGGATACAGACAAGAGGTAGGACTTTGAAGGAAAAGATAAGAAGTTCTGTTTTGGACAAAGCAAGTTTGAGATACCTATGAGCAACATCCATTTTGAAATAACCAAAAGACACTAAATGATTCTATCACGCAATATCCTTATCTACATGATAATTTTTTTTCTTAGAGAATTCCCCACTTTCATATGAGAACCTAATATAGTTCCCTTTGTACTTTAGTCACCAATAAGCTAAGCATTTATTGTAAACATTTCTCTTATCGATCTTAGCTTCTGATAAAAAGCATATACAGCAGTATATATTTTGTAACACAATATAATTGAACTCACCCTTCTTTGTGTTTTGATATTAATGCCAACGTGAGACCAACAAATAGAATAAGAAGTACTGTCCCAAAACAATGCCTAGGCAGAATAGTAGGAACGTTAAATACCAGGAAAAATGTGACCAATAGGTTTCTTAACTTCTAACTTACGACTTACTAGCAATTCCTTTTCAGCCATAGTTGAATTCGTTCATATTAACATGCATCAATTTATTAACAAGCTGTATTAATACATACCTACACAGGGTTTAAGATTGAACCCTGAATGCAAAAAATCTAAGTATCAAAAAGTTTCATCAAATGGTTAAAGAGATATCCACTTGTGGAGGGGACACATGAGTACAAATACCTTTAGAACCTACTATCTTGTCTCAACAGCAACTTTCTAGTTGAATAATTAGAGCTAGACTGGGAACCAGTATCAATGTTTTTTTCATTCCCTCATTTTACATTTTATATATATATATATACATATATATATATATATATACATATATATATATATATATGAATGAATGTATTTTGTACTAATGAGTCTTCTATTTCTTCTGGCCACAGGCTGCTTCAAATAGACTATTACTACCAGTTGGACAGAGTCATCAGAACAGGACTACACTAACATAAAACAAATTTTTCTAACATCAAAAGCCAGGGCTTTCTTTGGAGTTTTTCTTCAGGTGTATAAAGATCTGAATTATAATTCTAAAGAGTATTACTTTTATATAATGGTTCAAAATGACAAACTGATGTTTAGGTAGAAAAAAGGAGACTGAATTGATTCCAGATATTGGCTCAAAACAACCATTATTGCTTTTCTAAAGTTAATCGCTGGAGCAGCTAGGTGGTGCAGTGGATAGAGCTTCGGCGTTGGAGTCAGGAAGACCTGAGTTCAAATCTTACCTCAGACACTTGACACTTACTAGCTGTGTGACCCTGGGCAAGTCACTTAACCTTGACTGCCTCACCAAAAAGCAAAAAAAAAAAAAGTTAATTGTTGTTAAAACTTACCACTGAGAACAACAGGACCATGGGAGTCTAGAGGGGAAGAAAAATTCACTGAAAAAAAAAACCATGAAAATATCCGTTTAAGAGTTTAACACAATCTCAGAATAGATTCTTATAATGTCATCATTATACTAATGTAAGAACTTTTGGAAAGATTTGACAAAACAGTCATTTTAACACATGTATTTGGTCACATGATTATAGGGAGACAGCCAAATGAAATGTGTTCAACTTGCAATTTGGGGAATATAATTTTTGGCTATATATCAGGTAGTCAAAATCACGAATCAGAGATGGAGAGCTGGAAGGGACCTCAAAGGTCATGAGGCCCAGAAAGTTAAGGTTACTTGCCAAAGATTACACAGTAAGTGACAATAGTGAGATTGAACCTGTGTCCTCTGATGTGTCACCTTGTATCACACCAGCTCCTAATTAAACTGATTTATATAATTATCTGTAGATCTGGACAACAACACTTTTTAAAGAAGAAATGAAATGGGGGGGAAGACTATCAATTCAGATTTTGAAATACAAAGTTACTGGTTTTGCATTGCAAGCAAAGTCTTCTTGGGACAGAAAATGTTACCTGCTACCCTAGCACTCTTTTATGTGAACTGAGAGATGCTTCTTTACAGTTAGATAACAAGTAATTATCAACCACAGTCTGTGCTAAGGACAGGGATACAAAGAAAGGCAAAAGACAGCCCTTGGTCTCAAGGAGCTCACAGTCTACTGGGGGAGTTAACATGAGGATAACCAAGTTCATCCAAGATCCATAAAAATAGAGGGAGAGTCAGCTAAGAGGGGAAGGCACTAGCAGCTGGGGAGAAGAGGATATGAATCTTGAGAAAAACCAGGAAAGCTAAGAGGTACAAGTGGGGAGAGAAACCATCTTCCAAACAAAAGATAGCAGTGCAAAGGCCCAGAGATGGGAAATGGAGGCTCGTGGGTAATAGTAAGTAGGCCAGTAGTGGCAAGGACTCATTGGCTGATAAATCACAATCAATAACATTTATTAAGTACCACATCTAACCACTTTAAAATGGAGCTAATGTGGGGCAACTAAGTGGTGCAGTGGATAGAACACCATCCCTGGATTCAGGAGGACCTGAGTTCAAATTTGGCCTTAGACACTTGACACTTACTGGGTGCGTGACCCCGGGCAAGTCACTTAACCCCACTGCCTAGCCAAAAAAAAAATGAGATATGTGAGATTTAAACTCCATGGCATATAAAATTAAAGGAAACCTCCCAAAATGCTATCTGAAATTTGATCAGCTTACTTTCAAATATTCAGTGAACTGAACTGCTCCTTCTGTGAGTCCTTCACCAAAAGAAAGGGCATCTCTGATACAGCCCAACACTAGAGGGCAAAAAATGTAGTCTGATGTGACAGAAGTTCTTATATCATACTTACGTGATTTACAGACTGCCAAAGGAGGGTCCCATCTATGATCTTCCTGACACTGGCTCTGAGGACTGCCTTCTAGCATATACCCTACTGTGTGCGTCCAGCTCAGTAGCTTTGAGAGTCTTAAACTCTCCCTCCCCAGGAATGCTAAGGCCAGCTTAGTTCCTGATACCCTGTGCCGAGCAGTGAGAGGCAGGGAGACAAGATGGTGAAGCTCTGTTTATTCAAGGCACAGCACAGCGTTTTATATCTTTGACTCACGGGAACATACCCCAATGTAACAGTGGACAAAGCAACAAAGTTTACATATCTTTACCACTAGGCAACACCGAGAATTTTTCTCATGCGAATACCAATCAAAGTATCAACAAGTACATTTCTTTGCAACATTATCCTGGCTGTGTCCTTCTCCCGCGCTGTTCCCGTAAAGACACCACGTACTTCTTGTTCCCGGAATGTCCCAACACTTGATTACATGAACTAGCAATACTTGATACATAAGTTAGTAATACTTGATACATATTTGTGCTAGAACTGACTGTGCTTGAGCTAGCAACATTGTTTTATAGTTTGAGGTCCCCTAGTGTCTGAGTTTTGCTGACTGGGAGGTGCAAGGTCCATGGACGGAGAACCGAGCCAGGATATTCTGCTCATATACTAATACCTGAGAGGGGCCTCCGCCCATCAGTGAAGTCTCACGAACAGCCTGTGGCCCTCAATGTCCCACAGATCCCTAACACCCTTCATCACACTTCAGAGTAAAGATAGCTCCAAAATTATATATTTTTTTAGTTGATACATTCTGGGCACCAATTAAGAACTCTGGGAGGTTACAGTTTGCTTCTGAAATCAAAGAAAGGAGACTGAGATTATTACTATCTTCTAACTTCTTTCATAGAAATACAATACACGTAAGGGTTTTAAATCTATGACAAAAGGCCACCTTTACCATTAGCATGCAACATCTCACTGAAAAGAAAATAAACAAGAACTAGTGATTCGTAAATCATAATCTCTGACATCTCAGTGTTTTTAGTCTCTGTGGTACAAATTACTTTCTTTTTAAAATGTTAGAAATACTAATTCTTTACCTGTTTCCCTGGAAGGTGCCTGAGTTGAACAAAATCAGAGCATTTTGGAGCTGGAAGCAATCTTGGCAGCCATCTGGAACAACCTATACACCAAGGAGGTCCTACTATGATACTGATTGTGCACTCAATGCAGCTTCTGAAGGCTAAGATGCAACAAAATATGGATTGATTCTCTGCTGCTTGTGCTAATTTTCGCCTCATAATTAACACAAAGAAAACAGAGGTTCTTTACCAGGCAGCACCACACCATCCACATGTGGAACCATCAGTTACAGCAAATGGAGAAGTTCTGAATGCTGTGGATAAGTTCATTTATACAAGGATGTACACATAGATGATGAGGTTGACACACACACTGCCAGAGCTAGCACACTATTTGCAAGGCTCTGAAACAACATAGGAGAGAAGAAGTATTAATCTGACTACGAAACTGAAGGTCTATACAGCCTTTGTGCTGACTTCATTGTGTGCCTATGAAACCTGGACAGTATACAAGCACCATGCTAGGAATGTGAATCACTTCCACTGGAACTGACTTAGGAGATTCTGAAGATCACCTGGAAAGACAAGGTACTTGACACTGACATCCTTTCTTGAGCTAAACTGCTAAGCATTCAAACTCTGTTGCAGAGAGTGAAAATCCAATGGGCTAGCCACACTGTTCAGATGCCAAACACAAGTTTGCCTAAAAGACTATTTTATGGAGAACTCACACAAGTCAGGTGCTCATACAGAATTCAGAAGAAGTGATACAAGGCCATTCTCAAGGTTTTCCTGAAGAGCTTTGTATTCGATTGTATGACACAGAAGACACTAGCAAAGGACTGCCCAGTATGGTTTACCTGCATCAAAGAAGGTGCTGTGCTCTGTGAACTAAACAGATTTGCAGTACCTCAAAAGAAAGGTGAGATGTGCAAATTTAGAGACATCTCCACTCCAAATATTCATATGGACCATTTGTGCCCGACCTGTGGTAGAGGATTGTGAGCTCATATCGGTCTGATCAGCCACAATCAGACACACTCTCTGTACCTTGACTCCAACATAATGACTTCATTTTGGTCCTCTTCAAGAATGAAGAACAACCAACCAACTATAATGTACTTGACAAGTAGCCATCCAGACATTGATGGAAGATTTCCAAAGAAAGGGAACCCATCATGCTCATTCTACTTCTGGACGGCATTAATTGTTCAAAAGTTTATCTTGACATCAAACCCAAATTTATCTCTTTGCGACTTCCATCCAATTCTCTTGGTTCTGCAAAATTTCAGAGACTAATAAATCTAATCCCTTCCCCAATGGCAACCCTTCAAATACCTGATGACATCTATCACATTCCCATTTCTTCCCCATAGTCTTCTCTTCTCTAAGCTAAGCAAATGCATTTCCTTCAAACAATCCTCATACCACATGAACTCAAGGCCCTTCACCATCCTGGATGGCCTCCTCTGGATACTTTCTAGCTTTTCAGTATCCTTTTTAAGGCATGGTCTTCATAACTGAACACGTACTCCAGATGAGGTCTGGTGAGGACAGAGTTATCAAGCCTATCATCTCCCTATGCATGGAAGCTACACTCCATTCTTTATTCAGAGCAAGACTACATTACTGTTTTTTAGCTGCTGTATCACACTGGTGACACTGAACTTGCAGTTCACTAAAACCCCAATATTTTTTTAGAACTGCTATCTAACCATGCTTCTCACATTTGTGAAATCAATCTTATGTGCCCAAGTACAAGAATTCACATTTCTCTCTACTGGAATTGCATTTTATTAGATTTAGCCTAATGTTTTAGCCCACCTAGATTCTTTTGGTTCCTCCATCTGTCACTTGCTGTCATAACTATCCTTCCCAGCTTTGTGTCATATGCAAATCTGATGAACATACCATCTATCAAAGTCACTGATAGAAAGGCTGAACAGCACAGGGCCAAGCACAAATTCCTGGGTACTCCACTGAAGACTTCCTACCATACTGACACTAAGGCAGCAACAATTATTCATTGAATCTTGCCACCCAACCAGTTCAAAACCCATCTTATTTATTGTTTAATTGTCTAATACATACCTTATTTTTATACACTAATGAACTTCTTGTATTGTATTGTACATTATGTTTACTTTTTCTTACTAGATACTGAATGCCCAAAAGACCTCTCAAACCTAACATTTGCAACATAAAACTTATTATCTTTTTCCCCCAAACCCATCTCCTCTTTCAAACTTCATTATGAGTGTCTAAACCACTTCCATTCATCCAGTTTCCCAGGTTCATTACTTTGGTCATACCCTGGATTCCTTAACTTTCTCTCATGCCACACAGCTGATCAGTTGCCAGATCTTGCTGTTTCGACCTCAACATCTCTTCCATCTGATCCCTTCTCTAATCACACAGTTACACAGGTCCTTATCACCTCTCACCTAGATTATTGCAGCGGACTCTAGTCTTTCACCACTCCAGTCTATCCTAGACACTGCTGCCAAAGTGAATTCCTTAAGTACAAAACTGATTAGATCATCCTTCTATTCGATAAAGACAAATGGTTTCTATTCCCCAATTGATAAATGTTCAAAGGATATGAATGGGCAGTTTTTCAGACAAAGTAATCAAAGCTATCTATAATCATATGAAAAAATGCTCTAAATCACTACTGACTGGAGAAATGCAAAAGAAAACAACTCTGAGGTACCACCCCACACTTACTATATTTGCTAATAAGGCAGAAAAAGGAAATGACAAATGTTGGAGGGGATATGGGAAAAATGAGACACTAATGCACTGTTGGTGGAGTTATGAACTAATTCAACCACTCTGGAGAACACTTAGGAACTATGCCCAAAGAGCTATAAAACCCTTTGACCAAGTAATATCACTACTAGGTCTGTATCCCAAAGAGATAAAGAAAAAAATAAAAGGAAAAGGACCTATATGTACAAAATATTTATGTCAGCTCTTTTTGTGGTGGCAAAGACTTGGAAATTGAGGGGATGCCCCATCAATTGGGGAATGGCTGAACAAGTTTATATGAATGTAATGGAATACTGCTGTGCTATAAGAAATGACAAGCAGGATGCTCTCAGAAAAACCTGGAAAGACTTACGTGAACTGATGCAAAGTGAAGTGAGCAGAACCAAGAGAACATTATACATAGTAACAGCAATACAGTATGATGTGAACAACAGCTATTCTTTGACAATACAATGATCTAAGACAATTCCAAAGGACTTCTGATGAAAAATGCTATCCATCTTCAGAGAGAATTGATGGAGTCTGAATGCAGACTAAAGCATGCTTTTTAAAAACTTTCTTTATTTTTCTTGGGTTTTTTGTCTATGTTTTTTTTTCACAGTATGACTAAAATGGAAATATGTTTTGCATGACTACACAGGTATAATCTGTATCCAATTGCTTGCCTTCTTAAGGAGGGAGGAGAGGGGGAAAGAAGGAAGTGAATTTCAAAAACTTTTAAAAAATGAATGTTAAAAATTTTTACACGTGCTTAGGAGAAAATAAATATTAAATATTAAGAAAAAAGAAACAATAAGTGGTTTCCTATTGCTATTAGACAAAACAGAAACTCCTCTATTTAGCTTTACAAGTCCTTCACAACCTGACCACAACCTATCTTTCCAGTTTCATTGTAAATTTTCTCCCCTTCCTGTGCTGTGATCCAGCAAACCTGGCCTTCTGTCTGTTCCATCTCCCATATCTGTGCCTTTGTACTAGAATCCCATGTGTGCACTGTACTTTCCCCCCCTCCCACCACCTCTTTCTTACGGCATTCTTCTCTTCCTTCAAGACTCAACACAAATCACCTCCTTTGTGATCAAGGACTACTTTTTTCTCATTGCCTCAAATGCAAGTGATCTCCCTCCCAAACTACCTTTTATTTAACTACTTTTTATTCATTTTTATTTATCTACTTTATCCTATATATCCATATATATGTATATATATATATGTATATATATATATGTATATATATATATATATATATATATATATATATATATGCACATATGTCTATTTCATTTCTACTGTTCTAATGTGATAGCTCTTTCAGAGTAGGGGCTGTTTCTTGTTTTTGTATCATCAGAACCTAGCACAGTGACTTTGTGTACTAGTCACTTAAAATGTATCTTGAATTTGATGCTCATACACACCTTAACAAATTTGAGCAGGAAAATAAAGACACTTTTGCAATAAGGGAGAAATTCCAGGATAATTCTGAGTCATAACAAGAGAAAGAAGGCACTGAAAAGCAGGTCCCCAAAAAAAAATGGCAAACTATTAACAACCACATGAAATGCTTCAGTCTCTAATAAATAATAAGAGAAATACATATCAAAACAACCCTGAAGTTTCACTGCACACCCTGAAAATTGGCAAAGGATGACACGGTCAATGTTGAAAGACCTATGAGGTTGCCACGCTTGTCACTGTTGGTGAATAAACGTAATAATTTTTGAAAGTGACTTGGAATTATGCAAATCAAGTCACTAAAATATCAATGTTCTTTGACCCAGAGATTCCACTACTACATTTAAATCACAAGGAAGTCATGAATAAGAAGAAAGCTCTTACGCATACCAAAATATTTATACCTTCAGTTTTTTGAAAGCAAAGAACTGGAAACAAAGTTTCCAGTTGGGAAATGGCTAAATAAATTGTGGTGCATGAATGCAGTGCCATATCATTGTACTGGAATAACAATGAATATGATGAAAACAGAAGAGCATGGAAAGATTTATACAACCTATGCAGAGTAAAGTAGCAGAGTCAAGAAAATATATATAATGACAATGTAGCCAGAAAGAACAAGCACAGAACAATCAAGTGTATGCTGCAAAATCGCAAAGAACAAGCATGACTCCAAACAAGACATAAGAAGACACCCCTACCTCACACCTTTGCAGAAATTGGAAGCCCATGGATGTGGTACATTGCACGCATTTTCAGACTATTCTAATATACTTGTCAGTTTGACTGACTTTCTTCTTTTCTTTTCCTTCTAAAAATATTATTTGTTATATGAAATATCTTTTGGGGAGTGAAAAGGGAAGAGATGTCAGTAGAAATTTTGATGATATAAAAAAACCTTTATCAAAGCTAGAAGAGTTGTGGTGATTAGGTAGTAAACCTATTTTCTAAAATTCCTATCCTGACCAAGTTTGTCCCCATTATCCTCCTCTCACAAAATATCTTTGGAAAGATTTTTCAAACCCTATCAAAATTAGTGCCATATCAACTTTTCAAAGGATTTAAGACAAAATTTTCTTCAATTACTCCCCCCAAATCCCAACTAAATAAAAAGGGTTAGGGTTACTCACCTTTACAAAGTGCAATCTTTTGGAACCAAAACCTATTCCCCGCCTCAGGATTCCAACAGAGCTTATACACATGGCCAGTTAATTGGTACCTAGAGACAGATGGTAATATAGCTTCACCTCCCAATGTCCATTCTTATTTGGCCCATGCCATTTAGAGCCAAAGTAGGTACCACTGAGCTAGGGCTTTTGATGGAACATTTAAAGCTTTCAGTGCTTGACACTTTATCAAGAAACACCTCAACTATGTGTATCAGCTTCATTTTCACACATAGAAAAGCCCAAGAGTTAAGGATACTTGTTAAATCAAGGTCTAGAACTCCACACGTAGTATTGGGTGATAAGAGCTTTTAAAGCAAATCATTAGGCTAAACTAATAATTAATGCATAGAAAGAAGACAAAAGCTCTTATTCAAGCTGTATCAATTCACACTTACCCCTCTTGGCAAGAGGAATTAACTGGAACCACAGGGCTGCCATCAGAGGGCAACTGCAATTGTTCTTCTATGGATTCACATGATGCTTCTAAAGAAGCGAGACTAAGATCACTTAAGGATACCTCAGAATTAAAAAAAAAAAGTAGCCCAATTTGGAACCACTGGTACCTTCACACTGTGGGGCAGAAAGACTCCAAGCGCCTGAACGTGTACAGCAAATTGATTTGTTTCCCAGGAGCAAGTATCCAGGGTCACAGGTATAATCTACACACATGCCAGGAGCAAACTGGCCTCTCTCCCAACCCGTGTGCTGACCATGGGGTATCTGAGGAGGTGGCAGGCACTCTGAAGAAAAAGTATTCTTTATGTAAAAGCATCAACTAAAAGGAATTCATGTTAAAGTCAGTGTGAAACTTTCTAGCAGAAGACCACTGAGTTTCTCTGAAGAGACAGTGACAACCTTGGGAGAGTTCTCTCCTTTCCTATTCAATTGTATAATTGTCTAACAAGATCACATTGGGGTATTCTTGTTTTCAAGAGACATAAGGGAGAAACCATTTGCAAAGCTTTCTACAGTTACTACATTACACTTAGTACATTGTTTCAGAGGACCATGGACTTGGGGACATAACAGAGGTTCATCTAGTGCAACTCACTTTATTGAGACCATTCACTGAGAGCTCCCTCTTCTGCATTCTTCATGTCATACCACCCAGATGTCTTTTGCCACTATCTCCTCTTTCCCCCATTTCACATGAAGAGAAAGCTCTTCTCTATGCCAAAGCAAATCCCTCTACATGTGTAAGTGATCCCATTCCATCCCATCTTCTCTAGCAGATAGTCCCTTCTATCATTCCTACTTTCTAATTTAGCTTCAATCTCTCCTTGTTTATTGATTACTTTTTCTGGACTGCCATATCTACCCCATCCACAAAAATTCTTCCTTGATCTATCCATTGCTGCCAGCTGTTGTACTTTATCTTGCCTGCTTTTTGTGGCTGAACTCCTTAAGGCCATCCATAACTCGCTTTCCTCTCACTATCTTTTTAACACTCGACAATCTGGCTTTCCAACCTCATAATTCGACTGAACACTGCTCTCTCCAAAATTACTAATGAACTCTCTGTTGCCAAATCCAATGGTCTTTTCTTAATCCTCATCCTTCGTGACCTCTCTGCAGCCTCTGAAAAGGCTTATTACTCTCTTCTCTTTAATATTCTCTTCTCTCTAGGTTTTTGTGATGCTAACCTCTCTTGATTCTTAAAGATGTTCATCTATATCATGCCCACTAACCATGGATGTCCTACAAGCTCTGTCCAGGGCCCTCTTCTCTTCTCCATCTATACTATTAAGCTTGATTATTTCATTAGCTCCCATGCATTCAATGATCATCTCAATGTTGATCATTCTGAAATCTAATGATCCAGCCCTAACCTCTCTGCTCTCACACTTCAACTCCCACTCAAACTGGAGATCCTGTAGACATTTTAATTCAACATATCCAAAACTGGACTATATCTTTTCTCCCAAATTTTCCCTTCTTCCAAACTTTCTAATTACTATTGAAAGCATCACCATCCTCATAGTCTCTCAATATTGGAATGTAAAAGTCACCCTTGACTCTTCATCCTCTCTCACCACATAGCCAAATATGCCAAGGCCTACTGATTTCACCTTTGCACCACTTCTCCCACAAACTCCATTTTCTCTTTTGACATATCTACTGCTGTGGTCCAAGCTTTCATTGCTTCAAACCTGGACCACTGTAACAGCCTGTTAGTCTCCTTGCCATAGTCCCTCCCTGATCAATCTATCCTCCATGAAGCTTTTAAAGTGATCTTTCTAAAGCACCTTTTGACCATGTCACCATCCTAATCAGTACACTACAATGGCTCCTTATACTTTCAAGATCAAATATAAAATATTATGTTGGATGTTCAAAGCCTTTTATAATCTGATTCCCAACCCCTACTCACCTTTTCTAGTCTTGTACCTATACTCTGTGATCCAATGAAACTGGCATCTTTGCTATTCCTTGAACAAGACAGCATAATCTCCTGATTCCAGGCATTTTTGCTGGCTGTCCCTCATGCATGAAATAGCCTCACTCCTCCCTTCCAAAACCTGGTTTCCCTGCCTTTCTTCAAAATTCAACTAAAATATCAATCTTTCAATTGCAGTGCCTTCTCAGTGTTAATTACTTGCAATACCTCCTGTAGATTGTTAGTACGTAGTTAATGCACGTTGCCTCCACTCATTGGACGGAAAACTCAGTGAGGATAAGTACTGTCCTTAACATTTCTTTATGTCTTCAGCAATTAAAACAGTGCCAGGCACGGAGTATACACTTATTAAATGTTTAGTGACTGAGGACATAAATGACGAAAAGAAACGTTAAGTGACATGCAGAAGGTCACGTAGGTCTAATACCAGAACTGAGGAAACAGTAAAATTAAAACCATTCGATTATTGGTTTTAATAACAACTTCAATATTTAAATATATGATTTTAATGACTATTTAAATATTTAAAAATATATTTTTATTTCAATATGATTTTCTAAGAAGCAACTTTTAATATAGGAGAAGACAAAAAAAAATAAAAACAAAATAAAGGCCACCTTTCCTTTACATACATATCATTCACTCACCCTTTTCACAAATTGGCGCTTCAGGATCCCACGTGCCACTGGCGCTACAGCGAATCTGCCTGCTGCCCTTCAGGGTGAAGCCAGTGTTACAACGAAATACCACAGTGGCATTATAGAAATATGGTGGACCCTGTGCAGATATCTCGTAGCCATTTGGAACTCTGGGCTGTAGGCACTGAACAGAGGAAGCAGAAAGCTCACACCGAGGGGCAGCTGCACTCCAGACCCCGTTGCCCTCTCGGTCACTTGTACAGTGGATGGTGCTCTCTCCAATGAGGTTGAATTTCACGCCTCTTTCTGGGTCAGCGTTGCATTTATAAAGTACCTTGGTTCCGTATGGAACATCATCTGCAGAGCTACCCGTATGTTTCCCATTTTCAATCACAGGAGGAGGAGGGCACAGGATTGCTAGAGAAGAAGAGACATGGAGACTCCAGGATTCTGTGACAATCTTGTACACTAACCCAAGGACAGTTTCTGCAGGAAAGACTAGGTCTAAATGAAAACCTAAATGAAAGCTCTTGTAGTTCCTATGACTAATGTGCATAAAAGTGAATGAGTGGAGGTATAAAAAAAAATTTACACAGGAAACATGCCACTGCAAAGTGTCCCTCAGATGCCCAAACGGCTGTACAGTAATGGCCCCATAAACACTAAATGATTATACCCGGTGGAATACTGATCAGGAGCTGCTGACAAGTGCAGGGTTCTCTGCACTTGGGGACTAGGTACCAGGGTCTGCTGACTGCCATTGCTAGTTATCACACCGACAACGCGGCCCATGGTGGCCGTGCTGCCTTTATGGAGCTCTGCTGCCTTGTGCCTTTCTGATAATTCCTTTGACAGGTCCTAGGGTTGACAAAAGAGCAAAATAACAAAAGTTTTGTGTCTTTCTGGATATTACCTATGACCTACGGTAGGTTACCTGATAAATGAAACTCAATTGCTAATATCAGGCCCTAAGATAAATATGGGATTTTGGGGCAACGTATTCATTGAACTTGAGAAACTGAGAGACATGTCATGTATAAAAGTCCATGATATTTCTGAAAGAAACAGATGGCCAACGGAGTGATACCATATGCCTGAGTAAAATAGGCTGGCCGTAGGAATATAACAGGTGATAGTTCAAGGCAGCTAAAAAAAATCAGTCCCAAGCTTATGAAAAAGAAATGGAGAGTAAAAGGAAAGGAAGATAATGTGTTACAAGTAGAAAGGCAATGAAAAGATTAGGTGAGACTTGGACAGAGGAGACACAAAGGAGAAAGAAAATAAATAGGGATAAGGTACTTCCACATATCCTTTCTTGCTAATAAATTAAAATATAGAAGACAGACCACATAAAGAAGCAGCCATTTAATAGAAAATTTCCCTAAAATAGGTATAAGAAATAGCGGAGCAGAAAGGCAAGGGCATGAGGTAAAGAAAATAATGGTGGTACCAGTAATGAACCTCCATTTTGGTGAACCTTGTCCGTTGCTTAATCACAGTAAAAATACTGCAACTGTATCCATTTTTTCTTCATTTTAAAATTTAAACTAATAAATTTATTAGATGTAGGCTTTAGGAAATAATTCCTGGCAATTACAACTATCCAGAAGAATAGGTCAGATTCTCAATGGTCATTTGATGTTTATGCTGTAAATGGCATTCTCATTAAAAACAGATAGGACTAGTTGGCTTATGATGTCTCTTCCAGCTTAAAGAAAGTAAATAAAATAGAATGGTTACCCTACTCACCTATGCAGATTGGAATCTTAGTCCACACAGCACCCTCTGTAGCAAGCACACACGTACTAGAAGCTTGGCCCCGTAAATGGTACCTAGAGACAGAGTTTTCTATGATAACCATCAGTTTTGCCCTCTGAGACCTACACAGCAAGTCCTTCAAGGAACACAAATGCCCCCTCCAAGTGGAGTGCAAGCTTCCCCAATCTAAGGAAATCATTAGAAAGCATCTTTTTCCTCTCTCTTTCTTCATGTCGGAATGGTCAATATTCAGACAATCAATCAACCACTATTTATTTAGGCTTTTTATGTGCCAGTCACTGTGCTAAGCTTTCTCAATACAAAGGCAAAAGTGGAAAAGCCCCTGCCCTCATGGAGCTTACATTCTAATGGGGTGGAGATAATACAACATATATACACATAACCATGTACAAAATAAACATGAAGCAATTGCGGGAATGGGTTCCCCAGCATTTGGGATGGGTAGGAGAGCAAGGGAAAGCTTCAAGAAGAAGGCAGCACTTGAGCTGAGTCTTAAAGGAAACTGAGGATTCCAAGCAGCAGAGTAGCCAGAAGTGCTGGATGCTTTTCAGGCACAGGAAGGCACATGGGAATTTGATTTTAAAAGTTAAATGTGCAGCTAGTGCCAGCACAAAGGCAAGGAAACAGGAGATGGAGCTTCATGGAGAGGAGCAGCAAGTAGCTAATATCATCACATCCCATAGTAAGAAGATAGAAGTGAAGTATAAGAAACCCGGAAAGGTGGGAAGCAGCCAGGTTGTGAAGGTCTTTAAATATCCAACAAAGGGCTTTCTATTTAGTTCTCAAGACAATAAGAAGGCACTAAAGTATGTGGAGGAAAGTTTGGAAAAGAGGTGGAGGGAGATGAGCTCTATTCTGGATATGTTGAGTTTTAAATGACTAGAGCTTACAAGAGAGACTAGGGCTGGATATAAGAGTCATCTGTAAAGAGAGGACACAAAGAGAATGTAGAGAGAAAGGAAAAGGAGGCTCAGTGCAGACCACTGTGGTACAGCCACAGTACACGGGTGTGGTATGAATCAGTGAAGGAGACAGAGAAGTGTTGTATAGGTAGGAGGAAAAATGGACACAACAATGTCCTAGAACTCCAAAGAAGAGAAATTATACCAGGGGAGAAGGTGGTCAACAGTGCAAGGTGCAGCACAGAGATAAAGGAAAAAAGGAAAACAGAGAAAATACCATTAGATTTGGTGATTAGGGTATCTGGGAACTATGAGAGAGTAATTTCAGTTGAGTGACAAGGTCAGAAGCCAGACTGCAGGGTGTTAGGAAAACAGTGAAAAAGCAAGTGGAGGCATTAAGTGTAGATGGATTTTTCAAGAAACTTGGCTGACAAAAGAAAAATGTAGGTTAACAAACTGAAGGAGTGACAGGTTCTAGTACTTTTGGAGAAGTACTAGATAGGGAAGACTTGGGCATTAAAAGGCTGCAGGAAAGGAACCAGTAGATGAGGAAAGATTTATGATTAAAGGGTAGGGATGCAAGAACAAGCTGTCCAGTGGAAAGAACTACATAAAGTCACAGCCAAAACAAGTCTTTGCAAGTCTTTTGCAGTGAGCAGAGTTCATATGTAATTCATGTGTAATTCAGCCAAGGGTTATGAATCACAAAGCAACATCACACTCACCCCTTATTACAGGAAAAGGTCATGACTGCCCCAATCCGAAGATGTGAAGGCTCCTCTACCTGCCCATTGGGGAATTTTATTAAAGGATCACATAGTGCCTCTAAATGAACAAGAAAATAATGGCCTAAGTATCTGGCAAGTAATGTCACAGGTGAAATTCAAGAAATGGGATTGGACCATTTTGTACCTTTACACTTGGGAACAGTGGCATTCCAGACTCCTGAAGGCAAACAGTAAATGGTCTTTTCTCCAATAAGCAAGTAGCCAGGTTCACAGCTATAAGTCACAGACAACCCAGGAGCAACTGGGCCACTGTGGCCGTCTCTATGATGCCCATTAGGGATCATGGGAGGTGATGGACAATCTAATGAGAAATATTTATGCACAAACACATACACACATTAAATACCATTAGTTTGTATAGTCACATGACCCAGACACTGAATTTCAGCAAAGAATGCCTAAAAACAGCAAGAAATTTTGGATAAATAGCCATTAATTCACAAGGATCAAGTGATAGCTCTCACTCACCACTCTCACAAGTTGGTAATGGTGATGGTCCCCATGTATTATTTGCTTGGCACCATAGAGTGTCATAACCTTTTATGGTAAAGTTGGTATCACAGGCAAATTTCAAGGTGTCACCATGTCGATATGGAGGTCGGGACCTCAACTTTAGATGTCTCCCTAGGACTTTTGGCCAGAACAAACAGTAGCTCTATTGTAAGCCTCACACCGAGGGGCAGGTACACTCCAGACTCCATTCACTTGATTTTCACTCGTGCAACGAATAAACTTAGTTCCAATCATACGGAACATCTTCAAACAGGTATAACTTATTATAGTCCCATATGAAAATTTTTTCTTGGAAAAGAATGGAAGCCTACCATTGATGATACGAGGAGGAGGAGAATCACAAATAATTCCTAAAGAGGTTAATGAGAAATGATGGACATAAGTTAAGTGTATCAGATTAAAGTTTTGCCATAATCTAAGTTTTGCCACCCAAAAAGAAACCTAACTTGAAAATCTAGACCTAAATTTAAAACTGTCCTGACAACTGATTTACATCTATCAACTGACTAATACTTATAGATTTTTATATAAAATCATCGTCTATGTTAATCAATGTACAAATGTAGATCAAGGTCCAAGTGCAAGTCATATGGCCTCTAAGAAAGAAGCTTGAGTTTCTAGTTTGCCTATGTCTCCTGACTCTGCCTGTCCCCTCTCTTCCCTGTATGCTTGATTCTCAACTACCAAAGGCCTTGCCTTTAACTCAGTTTCCTAAAAAGCTAATTATAATACAACATTGTAAGTTAGAATTAAGGATGGAATTTACAAGATAGCTCTGAGACTACTATTTTTTTAAAAATTTCAAACAAAAATTACTCCATGAAAAACAAAATCATCTAAAGTCAGTTTTCATTTACTTACTACTCTGTTATCAAGAATGCTATAGGATCAAAGTAGGTCTAGCAGTTGCTTATGGAATAACACATAAGGTGACCAGCAAATCCTGGCAGTGACCTCATGTCCTCTGCCCATCTGCTTTCCCACTGGACAGCCATAGTTTGCCACTTTCTTTGTATATCTTACTCCTTTCCTAAATTAGGTAAAAATTGCGGGGAACTCCTAGTATCTCATGATTACAGCCAGATTCTCTTTGGTTTCATGAGTAGCTGTTACTTCAAAGGCAAGGGAACTGAGCTGCCCCATATATGTAGCATAAAGGGAAGGAGCTACAGTATATCAGCATGTCACGTCACTTTAGGACAACTTTTCCACAACAGTCTTAGTTTGCAAAATAAAGTGTGACACATTTACTTGCACACTAAAAACCAAAGAAATTCTAGATGGGTGATACATTGGCAATAGACATATAAGCATGGAGTAAAAATGTGTCCCTCAAAAGCAAGGAAAAGAATCTGGAGGATGGATTTGTGTTTCTACTCACGTTTACGACAGGCATCTCATCACTCCAAAAGACTCTCCCTCCACCTGAGACACACGTACTAGAAGAGCTGCCATTTAACCAGAACCTGGAGAACAAGGGAATTGCATACAGATCACAAGACCAAACCTCAGCCATAGAGAAGCAGAATCTTCACTACTGGGAGAGACAACATTTGGTCATATATGTTTGCCAAATCTTGTATTCAGTTCAATTGTGTCAGTAAGTTAGTGAACAAGAATTTATTGATCTTTTACTGCATGCCAGGCACAGTGATAAGCACTGAAGATACAAAAGCAAGGTAAAGCCAGTATATCCTCTCAAGAAGCTCACATTCAAATTGGGAGAGACAACAAGCAAAAGATATAAAAGGTAAATTGGAGACAATCTCAAATGGAGGGCACTAGCACAGGCCTTAAGGCCACACTTTAATGCACTGGCATTAAAGGGGATTGGGAAGGGCTTCTGGCAGAAGGTAGCTCTTTAGCTATCTTGAGTAAGTCAGAGAAGCCAGGAGGGAGAGGTGGGGAGGGAGAGCAGAAATGCTCTGAGTCAAGAGATGGTGGGTTCATGTGCAAGAAACAGCAAGGAGGCCAATGTCACTGGATCACAGATTACTGGATCACAGGTGGGGAAGAAGGTGTAAGAAGACTGGAAAGGTTGGGGGGGGAGGGACAGGAAATGAAGGGATTTACAATCCAAACAGAGGATCATATTGGATCCTAGAAGTAAGAGGGAACCACTGGAGTTTACTGAGGTATGTGTATGTATGTGTGTGTGTGTGTGTGTGTGTGTGTGTGTGTGTGTGTGTGTGTGTGTGTGAGAGAGAGAGAGAGAGAGAGAATGAGAGAGAAAGAGACAGACAGACAGACATGATCAGACTTGAACTTTAGAAACATCACTTTTCATAGCTGGGTGAAGGATGAACTGGAGCAGAGAGAGACTTGAGGCAGGGAGACCAACCAGAAGGGTTCTATTGAAGTAGTCTAGGCAAGAGGCACTGAGGGCCTATATTCTGGTGGTATCAGTGTCAAAGGAGAGAAGAGGGGAATGGAAGAGATGTTAGGAAGGTAGAAACAACAGGACTGGACAACAGATTGGATGTGAGGGATGTGAAAGTGAGGAGTTGAGAATGACACCTAGGTTGGGGACTGGGTCATTTGGAACTTGGTGGTGCCCTCAACAGTGATAGAGAAGTTTAGAAGAGAGGAAGGATTACAGGAAAAAATAATGAGTTGTTTGGGGCATGTTGAATTTAATATAACTATAGAATAGACATTCAGTTTGAGATGTCTAATAGGTAGCAAGAGACTGAAGATTAGGGATCAGGTAACAAGTTAGGGCCATAGATCTGCAAATCATCTGCACAGAGATAGTACTTGAATCCATGGGATCTAATATCCCATGCAAAATAAAGGAAAAAGGGAAAAGTTAGTGGGTGCAGCCCAGATGAAAATCCAGGAAAGGAGACAGAGGAGTTGTCATAACAGAGAGGAAGAGACCCAGGAGAGCAGTGTTACAAAACTTAGAAGAGAATATCACCCTTAGAAGAAGGTGAGGGACAACGTCAAAGGCTACAGAGAGGTCAAGAAGAATGATGATTAAGTCATGAATTTAACAACTAGCAGAAGTACAAATCATTCCAGCGAGTCACATTGTTTTATAACCACCAGTCCATCCCTTTGCTCTTTGCTTGACTGCAAAGCACTAACAAATAGCGCCACCTCTTGTCATCCTGAGCTATATCTGGCTGCTGGACCCAGATGGCTCTGGAGGAGAAAGTGAGGCTGGTGACTTTGTACAGCCCTCCTTCACTTAAGTCCAATTTACTTGCAAGTCAAGGCATCATCTTCCTGCTGTCATGGTTCTCTGAGAACGAAGGACAAGCCACACCAAATAGCAAGGGTCCAATGTCTATAAAAAAGCAGTAGCTTTCACACAGTATAAATATCTGCATTCTTTAGACCATGGATACCTAAAATACACCTTTCAACAACTCCCCTGTGGCAGCTAGGTGGCACAGCAGATAGAGCACCGGCCCTGAAGTCAGGAGTACCTGAGTTCAAATCTAGCCTCAGACCAAACACTTGACACTTACTAGCTGTGTGACCCGGGGCAAGTCACTTAACCCCATTGCCTAAAAAGAAAAAAAAAACTGCAAAACAAAAACAACTCCCCTGCTCCCACCACAGCCCTCCCATTACCAGTAATAGGAGTAATTTATTCTAATATCCCCTTCAATATACATCCCCTCAAACAACATAACAGCAGACAAAACAACTACCAAATACCACTGAAGCGAGGTTGGACAGCATTGAAGAGAAGTTATAGGGTTGTGGCTAGCAGACCACAGAATTCATTTTCTTTCCCAAGGACAGAAAAGAAAGGGGAAGAAAAGCAGAGGGAAAATTTTCATTGTCAACTGCTTTGCAAAGCTCACAAACTGCCATGTGCAGGCATTGTATCTAGGACTCTAGGAGAGGCTATCTCAACTCACCCCTCATCACAAACAAAGAAAACCTTTGTCCCAAGCTGAGGTCGATGGGGAGATACAACACGGCCATTAGGAAGTCGATCCAAGAAGACCCCACATGATTTCACTAGGAGAACAAGAAAGGAATGAGGCCAGCCTGTGAGAAACAAAGAGAAGAGATGCCCAAGAGAGATTCTAGCTGTAGGCACCTTCACATTTAGGAGTTTTATAGTTCCACTTCCCAGGCTCTATACACTTAATGGAAGCAATTCCAATGAGAAAGTAGCCAGGCTCACAAACATAGGACACAGCCTCTCCAAAGGAAAAATGGTCCTTGGTGCTGTTGCTGTTACCATGGGATATCTCCATAGGTGGCAGACACCCTGAAGAAAGAGCAGGAACAAAAAATGCCTTTAGTTGTTAAAGGAGAATAATCTTCCCCAACTAAGTCTCTGGGGTAGGTGAAAGGAAAGTAAAAACATGCAGGTCTAGGTCTTCAGGCCAGAAGTTCTACTGGAGGCACTTGACTCCTTCTAGTTATCCATTAAGAAGGTTCTAATCTATTGAATGATTTGCTTTTTCTATCCTAATACTTGAAAAACTGCATCAGTTCATGGCCTCAAATTTCCTGTATTCAAAAGGAGAAAGCCAGAGCCCTAAGATTACTGCATTATTCTCACAGTCTTTCTAAATCCTTTACCAAACTAGCCATTTCAGTACAAAAGAAACCCATTTAAGTGACCACCATATCTCCTTTCTGTTTGTAAGCAGAAACGGTTTTCATTACAAAAGGGCATATTTGTGGTATTCCCTTCAATCAGAATCTGATTTCAGCTGCATTCCTCATCCTAGTCCAGTAGGTACAAGCTCATGAAATGCAAACTTATTTTAATTTCTTCCTAAACAAAAACATTATTAGGAAGTTAATTCTGCTGAGAAAAAAAAATTTTCATTTTCCATCTCTTTTTTTGGCTTATTTTCCATTGATCTTTCTAGATTTATACAGATAATGGATAGTACTGATCCTATACTCAAAGCAATAAATGGCTTTCTCAAATTAGATTTCCATTTCTTGACTACATTCAACTATTTCTACTCAATGTTATTTAAAGGAATTTTTCATTTTTAAGCTTTTTTCCTGGAAATACATCCATTCAATTTGCTCATTTCTCATTCCTTCTGGCCTGAAGATTATCTCTATTCCCTAGCCCAAGAAGCTCACTTCACTCCCAAATTCCCAAAGGCTTTAGCAAACTCACCCCTGAAGCACACTGGCAATGCAGGCTCCCACTGGCTGTTAGTCTGGCATCGAACTATTTTGCTGCCCTTCATGGTAAAGCCAGGGTAACACTCCAACTCCACAGCATCATTTAATGAGTAGAAACGTCTGAAGCCTGACACCCTTCTTCCATGGGCAATTACCGGGGTCTGGCACATGGCTGGAGTAATACATCGAGGTGGAGGGCTATTCCAGATGCCTACTTTATTGTCTTTGCTAGTACAGAGTAATGTTTTATTACTCACCAGGTCATATAGCTTTTCCCTTCTTGGCCCAGTGTTACATTCATAGGATACCACCATGCCATAGTAAAAATATTCCTTAGTGCTTGTATATCTTCCATTGGAAATGGCTGAAGGTGGCTCACAACAAATAGCTGGAGAGAGAATAGAGAATGGCACTCCTTTGGGGATTTCATCTTTTCCCTTTGAAAACAAAACTTCAATTTGGCTTACATTATAAACCACATAGTTGTCCCCCCACCTTGTCAATTAAAATATATAGGCATGCTGGACACTGTCTACCTCCTCTCCATTAGAAAGGTAACAAAGGAAGCCTCAAAATAAATGTCAAGTCACCTTCTGGTCAGTCATGCCTTCAGGATGGAATAAAGCTGGCATCATTTAACTTTACTGACATGTTTTTGAGCTTTCATGTGGCCCTGTGATATTTCTTGGGGGTGAGGAATAAGCAAGAAAAAGAGTATCCTGAGCAGAATGCAGCTCTGCGTCTCAGGGGCAAAGAACAAACAAGGCCTTCATTATGAGCAGACTTTGATGTATGCACATCTTTCTTCATTTCCATGCAGAAGGAACCAAGTATAATGGAAACTACCCCGAGATTATTTTTACTCACGTTCATAGAGAGGTGCTTCCTTCTCCCAAAGGACAGTATTTTCTGAGACGATGCACTGGTTGAGTGAGTGGCCAATAAGTTGGTACCTAGAAAGTGTCTGTGAAATGATCACTCCAAGCCAAGGTAACACTCACCATAAATATGCAACTTCCCTACCGAGATCACAACCTAGAACAGAACTGGCTTCTAGTTCTGATGGATTATAACATGAGAAAAGAACTTCATCAAAACCAGCCCAGCAAAATTGTGCCTCCAGAATCTCTAAATTGTGCATACCCTTTGACACAGCTATGTTACTACTAGGTCTATACCCCAAGGACAATAAAGAAAGAAAAAAGAAGAGTACTTTATGTACAAAAATATTTAGAACACAAAAATATTTAGTGACAAAGAATAGAATGTAAGGAGGTGTCCATCACCTGAGGAATAGATGAATAAATTATGGTATGTGAATATAGCATAAAACTACTGTGCCATATGAAATGACAAAAAAGATGGTTTCAGAGAAACCAAGGAAGACTTGTATGAACTGATGAAGAGTGAAGTGAGCAGAATCTGGAGAACAATTTACACAAAGACAAGAACATTGTAAAATTGAATAGCATTAAATATCTAAGATCTCTGATCAATACAATGATGGGTAATGATTCCAGGGGACTGAAAATGAACAGTGTTGCCCACTAGAAGTCATGTACTCACTATGCAGAATGACAAATACATTTTTGGGCACAGCCCAATGAGGAAACTTGTTTTGCCTGACTATGAATATTTGTTACAAGAGTTTTGTTTTTGTTTTTCTTTTTTCCAGTGGGGTAGAAGAAAGTAGGAGAAGAAAAAAAGTTTGTTAATTGAAAACAAAATAAAATTGAAAACAAAATAAAATTTAATACTAAAAAAACAGACTCGATCCAGAGAAGGCTTAAAGGCTCAAGATCATTAGGAGGAACTAAGGCATTCCTAACTACTTTAAGCCCATAGTTTAACATGTGAAGTATTTTCTGCCTTCTATAGCAGAAGGTATCTGTGAGGACCTGTGAACTTGTTAAAATTTTTTTATAACTACCTCAATATAATTGGTTTCCTTTGTAATCCTATGTATTTGATTTTATGCATTTTAAAAACATTATTCTGAGAAAGGGTCCAAAGACTTTATCAGATTACCAAAGGTGTCTGTGTAACAAAGAAGATTAAGAATCCCCACTAGAGGGTGTTGAAAAGTTGTCTTGGCAAGAAAGGTCAGAGACACAAAGTTTTAATCATTCATCTTCTTTTCTACATTTTCAAAACTGGCAGATGCCAACAGTTCATGTCCCCAAGATTATGGGATAGGGGCTTTGATTTTTTTTCTAATTCTTATTCTTCCACTAGATGTTGACTAAAAACATACCCTTCACTGCAAGAATATTTAATTGTTGAACCAAACTCGAGGCCTGTTATTTCCATCTTTCCATTGAGGAGATCTGCAGGAGTTGAACATGATCTGCCTATAAGAAAGAAGCAAGATTTGGGGCTGGGAGTGTTTTTGTTTCTATACAGAGTTCCAACTTGAATGTTGCTTGATGACCAGCCAGCCTATCCACTTCTGATTGCTATAAAGTTTCTGTCATTTTGACAAAATCCACCTGATCTCCAAACAATCAATTAACAGCTAAACTACCCTTTAAAAACCCACTGCCACTGATGTGAATCTCTGGGCATGAATGAAAAAATGTCACTGATGACCAGATACACTATATCATTCCCACATCAAGCTTGTTGAACTTCTTATTTCCAGAGTAAGGGAACCGTGCAGAGCTGTCCTCCACAGTTGTAGCTTCACTAACCACAAGGTGAAAATGCCCTGTTTCCATAAAGTACCTTCCTCCTACACAGTGAAGAGAGACAAGCCAAAGGTGGGGCTATCTGGTCTCCTTCACCTAGGAAAAGAGGGGCACGTGGAGAAGCTGGGAACCCTAATCTCCAATGAATGAGCCTAAGCAAAAGAGGTAAAAAAATTCAATATCCTTTCCAACCCTCATCTCTATCAGGCAAAAGCTGAAACTGCTGATCCAGAAATTCAAGCAATGGGATGGCCTAGTAACTTAATTAACTCAGTGTCGTTTTTGAAGCCTACTAAGTGTGGATACTAAAAGGCTCTGAGCAACATAACCCCACCTACTGAAGCTTTCATTTTCGCATATGCACTGGTCTAAGGGCTTTAAGGAAACTCAAACTACATATCTATTTGCAATTTGAAAAATGTAACTCATATATATGCATTGATAGATATATCACATCTATGGTTACTCACATTTACATATGTCGTCATTTACACTTGACCACGTTGAGTTCTCAAGGCAGATGATGTTAAATTTTTTTGTCATGTACCCAGGGCGACATTCATAAGTCAAAGAATACCCAATGTCAAACACAGACTTGGAGTTAGATTTTAGAACTGCAAAATTTAACCATGGTGGGGAGTGACATTGACCTAGAGACCAAGACAACATGTACATCAATGCTTGTTAGCTTCTTCAAGTTGGAAGACTAAACTTTCTGCTTCCAATTCTCCTTCCTTACTAATTACTTGAATAGCTTTAAGCTCTGAAATGGGAATATGACATGGAGAAAAATTTACCCAGGAAATCATCATCCTAGAAACCAACGTGAAGAAAACCATAGATAAAGATTTTAAAGCAAACTCAGACATTCAAGTCTATCTGGGGATAGACCCTACTGAAGGAGTGTGGGCAGCTATGTGAATATTTTAAAGTCTATATAAGTAGGAAAGTTAGGAAAATTTGAGGTTCAGATCTTGCCTCTGGCATCTACTTTGTGATCATGAGCATGTCCCTAGGTTTCATCTTCCCATCTTTAAAATGAGGATAACAATACTTGGGGTACCTACTTTACAGGATTGCTGTGAAGATCAAATGAGAAAATGTATGAAGTGACTTGTAAACTCTAAAGTGTTAATGTAACTGAGGAAGATTCAGGCTTGACTCCAGTGTCCTCTGAACCAATCAAAGTTTAGAGCTGGCTTTCTTCTTTTTTTTTCTTTTTAGGCAATTGGGCTTAAGTGTCACACAGCTAGTAAGTGTCAAGTGTTTGGTGGAAGGCTGGATTTGAACTCAGGTCCTCCTGATTCCAGGGCTGGTACTCTATCCACTGCACCACCCAGCTGTCTCAACTGGTTGCCTTCTTATGACAATGTCTTCTTGATGTTTACTTTAATCTCATTTTGCTGGATTTTTAGGGAGGGGATTTTTTAAAGAAACCCACAGCAGCTCCCAGAAGCAGACCTGCCTACATATATAAAATATGTTATATATCTATATCTATATACCTACATCTATCTATTTATCTATCTATACATCCCTTAAATATTTCTTGCCCTGAAACAATTTCAAATTCACAGAACATTAAGGACTGGAAGGAATCATCTAATCTTACCTCTCTTTATTTTATAGAGGAAGAAACTGAGACTTTCCTTCTCCTCAATCCCACCCCCTCTTCCCAGCCCCTCAAGTTTTTCCTTTGAGATTATGCCCTATTTACATTGTAAACATATCAAACGAACACAGACATTTGCATGTTGCCTACCCCTTTACACTGAGAGTTCTTGAGGAAAGTAACTATATTCTGGCCTTTCTTTTCATCCCCAGTACTTAGCACAGGGCTTGGCTCATAGTAGGTACTTAATAAATGCTTGTTGACTGACTATAGTGATTTCCCCAAGGTCAGCAATTACAATACTTACACTTTCCAAATTAATCAACATCTCATTTGAGCTCCCAGAAGAACTCTGTGAGGTATTATTATTATTATTATTATTTCTATTTTATGCAAGTCAACAGCAGATCAGAGGTTAAATGACTTGCCCCCAGTCACAAAGCTAATAAGGTTCAGGGGCAGATTCCAACCCAGGTTTTTTCCAACTCCAAGTTCAGAACTCAATTCTCTAGAACACATTGCTTAAGAGTGGAGCATTGACTCTAAGTACCATAGAAAGGGAAGATTAGTTTTAGCTGCCTAAACTGTATAACTACAGACTGGTCATAAAAGAAGCAGGGCTTGAGACAGAGGCATACAGAAAAAGGAGGAAGGCATTCTAGGCATGTGTGTAGAAGGGAGATCAACCAGATTAAAGCAGAGGATGTGTTGGAAACAGTAGGAAATAAAGGATGGCTTTGTGATTATGTGATGACTTGAAGTGACCATGATACCTGGCCGAGATTTACAAAGCCCCTTACAAATATCATCTCATCTTATCCTCACACAGCCCTTGGAGGTAGTTGTTATTATTAGATCTATTTTACAGATGAGAAAATTGAGGTAGGCAGAGGTGAAGTGACTTGCCCAGTATTGCACAGCTAGTAAGTGGCTGAGGCAGGATTTAAGCTCAGGTCTTCCTGACTCCAAGCTGAGTACTCTTACAACTGCTCCCATAGCTGCCTCTACAAGATGATAGGAAATTATCCTGTAGATAATGGGGAATTATTAAAAATTCTAGAGCAAAAGAATATCATGAGTATTCTTGAATGGATGTTGCTGAATTGATAAAAAAAAAAGCCTTATTTTTTGTTTGTTTTAAAGGAAGATCAATCTAACAATACTATTTGACATAGTGTGACTGAGACAAATAAATTGTTATAGACACATCTCAGCAAGATAGCTTAATCCAGACATGCTGGATTGGGGATGATTTGCCAGAGGCCACGCAGCTAGTGTTAAGGATAGGTTGAAAACCTAACACCTAGTCCAATACTATTTCCTGGGGGCTGTAAGGAAAGGGGAGATCATTTGAGTTAGGTTTTGGATATGCTGAATTTCACATTCCAGTTGAGATGCACTGTATATAGCCAGAAATTACTCTATATGAGTTATGAAACAGAGGTGAGAAGTTCAAGCTTGAGAGGTAGATTTGCATAGACAGGGTAGCGAAAGTCCCAAGTATATTACTGAATGAACATTATTACCTATCTTTTGTCTGGGTAAGTTCTCCAAGGGTGTAAGTATATAGGGAGAAGAGAAGGCTAAGTTAAGAACCTTGAGGAATTACCCATAATTTAAGTGCCTGGAGGAAGATGTGTCAGCAAAGGAGACAGAAATAGGAGGAGGAATATTGAGAGCCAAATGCTGATTCCATTTCATATCACATACAGTATAGTAATAAGTCCCAACAACTGGTTTGCTTAATTAAGTCCTGCCATTTCTACTGCTACAATCTCTCCTACTTATTTCCTCCAACATTCTTAAAGTTATACCATCTTCATCTAAGTCCTTATTACTACTCCTAAAGTAATGTAATAGATTCATATTGCCTAACTACAAGCAAGTCGCTAGATGGCCCAGTGGATAGAGTGCCCTGCCTACAGTCAGGAAGACTTATCTTCCTGGGTTCAAATCTGACAACACTTTCTAGCTGTGTGACCCTGGGCAACTCACTTAACTCTGTTTGCCTCACTTTCCTCATCTGTAAAATGAGCTGGAGAAGGAAATGGCAAACCACTCCAGTATCTTTGCCAAGAAAACCCCAAATGGGGTCACGGTAGAGTCTGACACTAACGAAGAACAACCCTTATCACAAAACCAGGACATTTTCACTTTTACAATGTATTTGATACATTCTTGAGTTATGATTCATTCTAATTAGAATAATGCCAGAAACAATTTAGCAAAAGCTGAATGAGGCCACCTAGTACAGGGTGTACTATTAAAGAAATACAATGCTGGGAGAACTATATACTCTTTGACTTCTAATCCCAAATGTTTGAGGTTTAAAACTTCATTCTTCATTCATTCCACCCCAATGCATGATGAGATCAAAATTCTGAGGCAAGTACTTCCGCCTTCATCAGGCAATAAGGAGCGAGAAGTCCAAGTTTTCCTTTTATTGGACAGAAAAAGCTACCTAGCCTAAGGACTAGGAGGAGCTTGGTATAGTCACAGAAGCACAATAATGACCGACACAAAAGGAATGATGCTTCGAGACAAGATGCTAACCCTAAACCAAGATATGCCAGAATCCCAAATTCCAATCTCTAAACTCTAAACAAACCCTTTAATTCGACGACAGGCTCTCGGAGCTGGAAGGGACGTCCGAGGCCGCCAGGTCCAACCCACCCCAAGGCAATCCAGACCAGAGGTCCTCCACCTTTTTTCGGGGGAGCTCCCTCCTGGGGTAACCCACGCCGCTTTTGGACAGCACGCCTCCCTCTGCGCTCTGCACCTGCCTGCCACCCCCCGAGGCTCCCGGTTCTGCCTTTGGGGGGACACGCAGCGAAGTCTGCGGAGAGGCAGGGGAGATGGGGCGGAGGAGGTGGAGGACCACGCGCAGCAATCCCTCCCGGGGGCCGGGCATGCGCGCTGAGCACGCGACGGGCCTCGCCTCGCGCCCTGAGGTGCTGGCTGGCGCCCCGAAGCCGCCCCCTATCCCCTGCGGTTGTTTGTACTCTCCTTACTCACCGCAGGCTCCCGGCGCGAGGAAAGCCAGCAAGCCCCAGAGGAGCGGAGCGCCACCCATGCCGCCTGCCAGAGCGAAGTCTCGCGGTCTGAGCGCGAGGAGGGGACAGGCCTGAGAGGAGATGCTCTGAGCCCCCGACACTCGCCGCACCTCAGTTAAATTGAGGCCGCACCTGGCGCGGGGCCAAACCTCCAACTCTCCCTCCTTCTCACCCTCTCTCGCCCCCCTTCCCGGGGCGCGTGGCGGGGACGTCTGTGATTGGCTCGCCGGGCGTCCGCCCTCCTCCCATTGGCTCTCTCTCGGAAGGGACCCGGCCAACCAGAAGCTGGCGCTGATTGGCTCGGCTTGCCCGGCTAGCGGAGGTTTCAGCAGCTCCTTTCGGTACTCGATCTCTACTCCGAGCCAGAGCTCTTGCGGGGTGTAGGAGGAAAGATTCTTTAGGAAGATGCTGCATAGACTGCAAAGCGTCTTGCTCTCGACGAAGCAACCGAATCATTTAGTGTCAGAGGCAGGGCTTGAACTCGGGTCTTCTGCCTCTCAAGACTGCAAACCGCCTCTAGGCTTTCCAGGGTATTCAGTATAAAATAGTATAAAATAAAGATAAGGAGGCATAGAGACACTAGATTTCATTGATATAGGAAGCTTCTCGGGCGAGAAACTTCCCTCCCCCAGTGCAGACTGGCACCTTTTAGAAAATTCAACCTAGAGAGAGGTTAAGTGATTTGACTTGGGTCACACAACATGAAAGTGTCAGACTTGAACCAGATCTCCCCCGGTTTGTGCTGTGCCCCACGGGGCCCCAACACTCCCAAATGCTGCCTGAACCAGATTAAAATGTAATTGGGAAATATTACAAAATAATTGGAAATGACACAGTTAAACAGATAACGTTAATATGTGGTTTTCTATGGCAATCTATAGCCCACAGGGATCCTGGTGTATGGTTTAGTGGCCCTGGTTTCTATTTGTGTTTGACACCACTGCATTACACCATATTTCCTCTCAATATAATTATATAGGTATTCAACTAACATTTACTAAGCACTTCCTATAAGTCATTGTTCCAAGCTCTATTTTATATTTATTTTTAAAGTGCGTGTGTGTTTTTGGAGAATAAACTGAACTTGGACTCAGAAGTCCTGGGTGCATGTATGCCACTTACTAATTGTGTGTCTTGGAGTGTTCAGCTTGGAGTCAAAGAACCAGAGTTTGATTCTTGGCTCTTATTTGATCAAGTTGCTTGACTTTTCTTCTGTTTCCTTATCTGTAAAATGAGGAGAGTGCTTCATAACCTCTGTGATCTTTTCTAGTTCTAGACTCAGGTCTAGTCATAGCTCAGGTATGTTTTAACTACTCTGTGTCAGTTTCCTTATTTGTAAAATAAAAGGGTTGCACAGATGACATCAAGGGTCCCTTCTGGCTTTTCAGGACCTGTGATTCCATCAATGTAGCACATGTAGACTCCCTCCTTAGATACAAATTGGGAGGCAACTCACCTGTAACTTAGTGTCATGGAGAGTTGCCTAGGACACAGCAGAGGACTTGCTTATCTGTGGGTAGGATTTGAAATCAAATGTTCCAGACCCCAAGGCATGCCATTTATCAACTATGCCATGCTGCTTCACATTTTAATTCATAATGTACCTGAAAAATACTGAAATAACGTTGACTCATACCTGACAACTTCAGTTACCTGGTACCCAGCCAAGGACCTTGACAAAAGAGACAGCTATGTTAAAGCGGAAAGAACACATAGGTCTTACAATAAGAAGACATGAGTTTGAGTTCTGCTTGGGTAATCCTGGTCAAATCACTGAAGGTCACTGAACCAAAGATTCACCTCACTTCTAGGCCATCCTCATGTCAAGCTACCTGCTCTCCAGACTCTACTTTCAGCTCCCACCTCTGTGGTTCTGGACCCTGATGGATGGGCATTTGTTCACCTGATCTTGCCCGGTCTCTGGCTGGTGCTGTCACTTGCTGACTATCTCCATACCATCCCCCACATGTCCCCTTTCCAACTCTAGCTCTGAGAACAGTAATGAAATCAACACTACCATTCTTGGAAAGAACATATCAATCATTTGCCATATGACTCCAGTTGCCATTCTTTTGGAATTCCCTGTCCAAAACATTCCTCAGTGACCACCATTCTCTTATATTGATTACCTTGCTAGATAAGAATATTAGTTCCTTGAGGGCAGGGACAGATTTACTTACTTGTATTTGTATTCCCAGAACTTAATACAGTGCCTGGCACATAATAAGTGCTAAATAAATGCTTTTTCTTTCATTCATTTATCTGGAAAAAAAAGAGAATAATAATAATACTTGTATTATCAATCTCATAGAATGTTGTATGGCAAGTCAGTAACCCTTAAAATGCTATATAAATATAAGCAATTTCTGGGCACAGTAATTGGAAATCAGACCATTGAAAGGCAAAGGGAGATATTCAAGGGCCTCAGGCTATAAGGAAATGCTTTTTGGAGAGGGTATAAGTTAGATAGTAGCCTTTCCCAGCTCCATTTCATCCAATATACTTCTCTAATACTATTAACATTCATAATGCACAGGTCTTATCATGTTACTCTTCTGCTTGCATCCTTCAATGGCTCTGGCTCTCTGTTGCCTATGGAAGAAAGTCCAACCTTAGATAAGTATTTGAGACCCCGGACAATGTAGTGCCAACATAGCTTTCCAGTCTTATCTTGCACTACTTCCCTTCCTTTCTGGCAAACTAGAACATGTCCCCATGCTTTTCTGTCTCCGTGTATGTTCATGCTACTTTTCCCTATGCTTGATATGCTTCCCCTCATGTCTGCCTTTGACATTTTACTTAGCCTTCAAGGCCTCATATGCTTTCCTCCATGGAGCATTCTCCGAATCATTTATCTATAAGTGGTCTTCTCCTCATTCTTCCTCTTCCATTCTTATATCATTTTGTATTCCTCTTATGTTCTATCATATTTTAACTTATACTACCTTTATACTACTTATGTTTGTGCATTCCCCAGAACGTAGCTCAGGAAATACATTAAGAGAGATGTAGTGTTGAAGATTAGAGAGGGGATTATCCCATAGTAATCTTTCCAATACTTCAATACATCTAAAATCCTGTGTTTAATTCTGTGCACCATATTTTGGAAATGAAATCAATAAACCGGAGAGTGTTTAGAGAAAAGCAACTAACATGGTAAAGAGCTTGGAGATTACACCATATCAGAATTTGCTTAAGGACAGGAGTGAAGAAGAAAAGAATGAGAGGGGATGTGATAACTACATTCAAGTATTTGAAGGATTGTCATGTGGAAGAAAGATTAGTTTTGTCTTACCTAGTCCTCAAAGGCAGAACCAGGAACACTGGGTTAAAGATGCAGAGAAGCAGATTTAGGCTTGACTTCCCAAAGTTGAATGGGTAACCTGTGGGGTTGTGGATACCCTATCCTTAGAGATCATTAAGCAAAGACTAGACGACACTTGTTGGTATGATGTAGAAGAGTATGGGTTAGATTAATGCCCTTCTATAAAATTGTGCATACCCTATGATCCAGCAATACCACTACTAGGTTTGTATCCCAAAGAGATGATAAAAATGGGAAAAGGACCCACATTTACAAAAATATTTGTAGCAGTTCTTTTTGTGATGGCCAAGAATTGAAAATTGAAGGGATGCCCATTAGTTGGGGAATGGCTGAACATGAATGTAATGGAATACTATTGTTCCATAAGAAATGATGAGCAGGCAAGCTTCAGAAAAACCTGAAAAGACTTATATGAATTGATGCTGAGTGAAGTGAGCAGAACCAGGAGAACATTGTACACAGTAACACCAACATTGTGTGATTAGCAACTTTGATAGACTAAGCTCTTCTCAGCAAAGCAGTGATCTAAGACAATTCCAAAAGATCGTGATGGAAAAATGCTATGCACATCCAGAGAAAGAACTGTGAAGTCTGAATGTAGATTGAAACATATTATTTTCTCTTTTTTTTCTTTCTCATGGTTTTCCCCTTTTGTTCTGATTCTTCTTTTACAATATGACTAATGTGGAAACCTGTTTATTATGATTGTACATGTATAACCTATATCAGAATGCTTGCCTTCTTGGGGAGGAAGGAGGGACGGGAGGGAAGGGATAAGGAAACGAGGGAGGGAGAAAAAAATGGAACTCAAAATCATATAAAAGTGAATGTTGAAAACTATCTTTACATGCAATTAAAAAATACTATTAAGTGGGAAAAATCATAAACAAAACAAAACAAAACAAAAAGATTAAATGCCCTCTGTGATTCTTTGTTGAGCATGTAAGTAGATGAATGAAAATGGAATATATTATAGCAGAGCGCAAATAATTTGGTTTTTAGAGTTGAAATATCTGAGTTCTAGTCCCGTCTCTTTGCCTTCTCAAATGAGTGTCTCTGTTTCTCAGATTCTACATTTATAACATGTATTAATTACCTCACAGGGTTATTATGAAGGAAGTGCATTGTAAACCTTAAAATACTATGTTATTGTATTATTAAACGAATTCTATTGTGCCCAGCAAGTGCTTCATCATTGCTTCTTGAATGAATGAATCCTAAGGCCCACACTGCTGTTGTAAAGGGTAAAGCCATCTCATTCAAATGCCATAAATCCTTCTCTGGATGGGCAGAGCATTGGATGTTGGTATGTTTATCTCAAAAGACAACTGGCATCTAGCAAGACATTCTTCCACCAGAGATAGCCAAGTGAAGACTAGGTTGGCATCTTTTAGAGGCAGGCCATTAGAAGACTCAAGCACACTTTCACTGGGGTGGGCTCTGGGAAGGAGGTGTTTCAGTTTGAAAAGTAAGAGGCTGTGTGCTAGGAGTGCAACCCAGGTTTCAGTAGCTACCAATAGGTCATCAATTAGGTCCTTTCATAAGTCTGGGGACGTATGTGGGACTGTTCTTTGGAAAGCGATACTCAGATCTGGATTCAGCCTAGTCAAATAAGGTAATGAGCTTACAATTTCCTTTTCCTGGACCACAGGTGCAAATGACTATTGCTGAGACATTTGGCATAGAGACTATTTGCCCTTGCAAACAGAAATCTATATGGTGTAATGGTATACATTATACCTGGTGATAACTATCCTCCTCACTGAGCTTTAGAAGATAAAAACTGGATTAGGCTTACAATGTGAGCACACACATTTCTGGTTAGAAATGATGCCATATATA